CTGTTACATCCTGCCTCCCCATCTGAACATTTCTGCTGGAAGAGTCTTGTCTAATGCTATGGTGAAGAAAAAGTACAACTTTTTTTTGCCTTTTCCACATGAATGTAACCACTTCCCAGGTTGTAATCAATGTAGTTCTAGCAAGAGGCGAGAAATGCTGCTAAATTCCACTCTGATTTACTAGCTGATGTTCTTGATACATTGGGAGAGCTATGAACTAGACCCTTCTCCAACCTGGTTGATGAAGATCAGTGGAGAAATTTGGTTTATTGATGAGGGTCATTAATGTTTCCCTTTTAGACAGCAGGATGGTATTGTTGCTGCCTTTAATCAGGGAGCAGGTGTATTTTTGATTAAGAAAAATAATCTCTTGCCACTGTGTACTGAACTCTAATTGCCAAGGCTGTTAATTTTTCCTTTTTGAAAAAGGTTAATGATCAAATGGCTCTGGGACTTCAGGAATTTCCTCAACAGGCATTTGCTCCCTTTCAGGTGGGCTTTCAGGTGCAGGGTGCCACAGGGTTCCATTTTGTCATCATCTCTTTTCTGTCTGTCAGTCTGATTAGGTGAGACTGTGACAGGCTCTGAGATCCTGGTTTAAGAGAGTCCTTAAGGCAAGATGTGTGGTTCACAAACACAGATTTTTTTAGTGCACTGGGGACACACAGACAACAAATATTTCCTGGTACACGTGTAGATCTGCCTAGATTTCTTTTGACCTGCTAGATTGTCTCAGAAAGGAAGACGTGAGCCCTTAGTAAAGTCTCACCCACATGTCAACATGTAAGCCAGAATGTTCCAGAGTGGTAAAAAATATGGGCATGGGAGTGAAGACATCTGGGTTTTATTCTTGGCTCTGCCAGATTTTGTGTGATCATGGGTAAATTGCAACATTAACTGATTTGATTTAATTAAATAGAGTATCAGAGGGGTAGCCGTGTTAGACTGGATCTGTAAAAAGCAACAGAGAGTCCTGTGGCACCAGTCTTAAAGGTGCCACAGGACTCTCTGTTGCTTTAAATAGAGTAGAATCTCCAAGGTATGTTCTTGCCAGACAACACCTTTAAGTCTGTTTATTTCTATCTTTTCCAGATTGGTAGATAGAAAAATTATTTCTTCCACATATATGTTATGGGATAATTTAACTGAAAAGCTATGAAAAAGCTGTGAGTGCTATCATGGCACATTTATTTGATTCTTATTAAGGAGATCAAAAACCCTTTTTGAGCCACATGATTCATGCTGGCTCAGAGTTTTTGCATGAAAAATGTTCTTCCTGGTTACACAGATTTCATTTTGCAGCATAAGTGAGCCTCAGGCACTAGTGCAGATACACATTACACTATAATGTATGAGGATAAGCTAGTCTTGACTAATTACCCAAAATTAGTAGGGTAGTTAGGTAATTCCAGAAGTAGTTAGAATCCATTTGATTCCATCAATCATCTTTCCAGTATTATTTTCACACCCACGCACATGTTCCTGTAATGCTTTGTTACAAAAATGATATGGTAAAAAATCTTTTAAACGCCATAGGATACGGTCTTTAGAAAATCAATCTAGTTGATCATTTCTTTTTACATGAATTCCTCAGGGTAATTTTTATTACATGTATTATGGTAGTGCCTAGAGGCCCAAACCAAGATGATGACCGGGGCCCTATTGTACTAAACACTGTAACAGACAAAGGAAAAGATGATTCCTGCCCCTAAGAGTTTACTGCACCTAATAAAGAAAAGATGCAACAAGTGAATGGCTGTAATAAATCGTTGTAAGGAGTAAAGCAGAATGAGGCAAACAATAAGAAAAGCATATGTTTACATAGGCAGATGTGCACAGCTAGATGGTTTTGAGTCAGATAAATTTTATTCTTATAATAAACTGTAAGAAATAAATATGATAGATATCAGCAGTCCCTCCTGACCATGTATCTGGATATAATGAGTTGGCAGTTTCCTGTAGACATCTTGGTAGAAGTGAATCCTGGGGAGGGGTTTGTTGGGGACAGGCTAGTGTCTTTACACATTAGTTCAGGGAACATGTGAAAGGGGAGCCTGGAGGAAAACATAGAGGTGTGAGAGGTGTGTACAAGCAGTGGAGGCTGCCTCTGTCAGTGGAGTGGAGAGAGTGAAAGGTGACACAATAAAATACAAGAGCAGATAAACAGGCAGGAGATAAAATTGTGATGCAACTTAAAAGTATGTTGTTAATTATTATTATAAGTATATACAAGTATATTATAAGTATATTATTATTTATTATTAATGACCTGGATGTAGGAATAGAGTGCATACTGATCAAATTTGCAGGTGACAGAAAGCTAGGGAGGTTTGCCAACACTTTGGAGGATAGAGCTAAAATTCAGAGGGATCTAAATAAATTGGAGAACTGGGCTATAGACAACAAAATGAAATTCAACAATGACAAATATAAGGTGCTACTTAGGGAAGAAAAACCAAATACACAAATACAAAATGGGAGATAACTGGCTTGCAGCAGCACTGCTGAGAAGGATCACAACCTCAGCAGTGCGATGCTGTTGCAAAGAAAGCAAATGCAATTTTAGGTTGCATGAACAGAGGCATAGCATGCAAGTCACAGGAGGTGATATTACTGCTCTACTCGGCACTGGTTAGGCCTCAGCTGGAGTACTGTGTCCAATTTTGGTCACCAATATATAGAAAGGATGAAGAGAAACTGGAAACGATCCAGAGGCGAGCAACAAAGATGATCAAAGGAATGGAATGCAAGCCATATGAGCAAAGGCTGAAGGAACTGGGTGTGTTTAGTTTGGAAAAGAGGAGATTAAGGGGAGACATGATCGTGGTCTTCAAATACTTGAAAGGCTGCCTGTGGCGGGGCAACGACTCACCAGCGCGGCGCCTCCTGCTGGTCGTCCAGGGAATTAGCTCTTTCCAGCCTGGAGCGCCCTCTGCAGGCTGGTGTCTTGCCTGCCGCTGGCCCCATCTCCTTCCCAGACCCCGGTGCCCTTTGCCCAGGGGTTCTGCCCACCACAGTACTCCCTCACTCTGGGTCTCCCCTCCCAGGGGAACCCCCAACCCCCTATCCCCACCTTGCCTCAGTGGCTACTGCCAGTCTCCATTTAGCCCTGCTCACTGGGGCAGACGGCAGTCTGTAAACCATTCATCATTGGCAAGGGGGGTTGGACCTCTTATAGGGCCAGCTGTGGTCTGATTGGGGCGTGGCCCCACCTGTGGCTGCTTCCCCCAAACAGCCTAGATTTTCCCCCACCGCAGACCTTTCCCAGGGCTGTTTTAAGCCCTTCAGGGCAGGAGCAGGATGACCACCCTGCTACACTGCCATAAAAAAGATGGAGAAAAGTTGTTCTCTTTTGCCACAGAGGTCAGGACCAGAGGCAATGGTTCAAACTACAGCATAGCAGATTTAGATTACGTCGCAGGAAAAAATTCCTAACTGTAAAAAGGGTAGGACAATGAAATAGACTGCCTAAGGAGGACATGGAAGCTTCTTCACTGGAGGTTTTCAAAAGGAGGTGGAATAGCCATCTATCATGGGTGGTTTAGACACAGCAAAATCCTGTATCTTGGCAGGGGGTTAGACTAGATAACCGTTGCGGTCCCTTCTAACCCTGTGGTTCTATGATTCTAATTGAAAATTTGCCAGAAGGATACTATTTGTAAAATGAAGTAACAAATAAGCCACATATTAGTAGGCCTTCAATCTCTCTAATCATATATTAGTTTTTTTCTGTGGCAGGCATCATCATAGTATCTGAACACTACCTCAGATTCATGGTACAGTACATTTCTAGGTCTACACAATGGCATCAAAGTCCCCGTGTCAGCCGACAAAACATGAAGAAGAAGAATGTCAAAAGAGACTAGTGATTTTTGGTGCCCGAACTCCAGGGGACTGATTTCCAGAAAGTGCAGTGCATACACCCTCTGAAAATCAGCCCCCTTTACGGTGTCTCAAGTTGGGCACCGAAAATCACTTGTCCCTTTTGAAATTCAAAGTCTGTATGATCCTATAGAAAACAAAAGGGGATTTCCTTGTCACATCCCAAAAGCTACTAACATACTCTTGTTTTATTTTTTAAACTTCAGTTAATTTAGTGTTGGTGAAACAGCTGTTATACTTTTGAAGGGTAGAATCTGAGAGCATTTAATTTCACACTGTAAGTATGAACAGCAATTTTGGCTTATGGCTCTGCATCACTATCACCCAAGTGATTGCCATCTCACAAAGATGAATAATCATGCTTTCCATCTCAGTAAACACACTTAAATATTTGCTCGCCTAGATATGTAGGGGTGGGGCAGGTTGTTCTTACTTGGGGGGAGAGGCATGTTTGCCACCAGAAATTAGGATGAGCTCTAGTGTTATTGCTTTTAAGGCCCCTCTTTTTAAGTCGACCGTCGACCAACAACAAAACAGCATAATGACCTGGGTGAGTTTCTCCTAGGAATCAGCAATTAAGTTTGAGTCCAATGGGAATAATGATGGAAGATGTAGAAGACTTTTTCAGATAGAAATGAGGTTATTCATATTTTGTATACAGTGCCTAGATTGTACAGTGATGGGTGCACTGGAGATACATATGGCTAGACAGACATAAGGTCCAATCCTGAAGACCCGACTAAGGCAAAACTTTCCCTGACTTCAGTGGCAGTTTTGTCAAGTAAAAGACTGCAGGATTTGGCAGGTGTGGTATATGCACTACTTATAGGAAAGAAAAGACAAGTGTTAATTTTCATTGCACTCTTTTATCATTTGATTATACACCATGTTTCCTTTAAATTCAGAGCACTAGGGACACTTATGACTAATTCTCTTTGATCTATTTGATAAGAATGTCCTCTGCGGTTTTCTCTCGATACTGAATGACTGTGAATTGTGGGCACCACGCTGGTAGGCATGGCAACATAGTCATGGCACAAGCCATGTTTGACAGGGCATGTGTATGATATTGTGCAACATGATGGATTCACCGTCTCTATTTTCAATTACAGGGAGGAGAGCATTGCTATTATCAGGGCCAAATCCGAGGAAACTCAGAATCATTTGTTGCCTTGTCAACATGCCATGGACTTCAGTAAGTTTCCCCAGGTTATTTTTTTAATGGGCTGTATGTAATTTCTTAAAACAAGTACAAATTTTATAGTAAAAGAATTACTAATTGCAGCAAAATGTTAAACATCTTACTCTCTCTCACAAATTATGGGTTGAATTTGGACCTATAAAGAAATCTTGGATTTTTACAAGTAGTTTACAGAGTGCCTGAATTGTTTTTTATTAGCACATAAACACACTGGTATTGTGTAACAGTCACATTTTTTCAAGTTAAAACTAACTTACAAATAAATAAGCAAGGGTGAGAGCAACCCAAAATATTCCTTTCCTGAGGAGGGGGGAAACCTTTCTAAATGTTACTCTTTAACTGTTTCAAAATATGCTTTGCTCTTTCCTGATTACTACAATGCGTAGATGGCATATTTCTCTTCTGTTCTGACCCCATTTACAAAACAAAATGGAGACAGTGAAGTGGGGGTTTTCTAGTCATTTTTCTTTTCTTTCACAGAGGCACTGATATTAGATATTTAGATATTTACCTACTGATCTGTACTTTACATATATGGCAATATATTTGTAAATCTGAAGGAAAGGAGTGGCCCTTACATGGCAAACTGAAAACTTTGCGTTATTTTAACAATATGTTGTACTTAATAGCACCTTCCATTTGAGGATCTCAAACAGCTATACAAAAATCCCACATAGTCCCTCTCAGGGTTTGTATCATAGTTTTGGACCGGTTCAAAAAGATTCCTGGCCTGATTTTCAGAGGTACTAAGTAACTGCAGCTTCCAGATGACTTCATTGGGAATTACAGGATCTCCCTGATATTGAGGTCAGACATTGCTTGAAGGGTCATGTGATGAATGGTCTATAAATAGGAGCACTCAACAATTACCTTATACTTCTCTTTTCCCTCCTGCTTCACTGAAAGGCAGGCACATATCCGATGGGGATTTTCATTGATTCGATCCTTTTCCTTCTCCAATAGTTCTATAAATTCTGTATCAGACTTCTATATTTTCAGTTAGTTTCTTTTAGTTAAATTTGTTGGGTTTTGTTTTTATTTTAGCATCATTGCAGTTTTCTGTCTGATTGTTTGTACCATAATGCTTTTATCTCTTTTGTAATCAAGATTTAGGAGTGAGGACTAACCCAAGAAATCTGACTTCAGGTTCTGTGCTGAAGGTGAATCTAAAAATAGTAGCGTTTTAGTGCATTCTGCAGAGATTTAACTGCATGACTTCCATTAGTTGTGATCTATTAGGTCTTGGATTGTAGTCCATGACCCCTGTTAACTCTCAGGGGCTAAGAGAGAAAGGGAAAAAGAGACTGCAAAAATTCCTTTCTGGCCTTTATTTGGTGCTTTGTTCTTCAGGATGAAACCCTCTCACTGCTTTGTATTCTCTCAGTGCTTAATTATCAATGTTGGTACCTTCTAATGCAGCTACATGACTAGGGTGATGAAGAGTTGTTATCTTTTCCTTTTTTGTTCAGCTCTCTTAGGTACATCTCTTTTTTCCTTTTAGGGAGGAATCTTCAAGTATCTGTATACTTATATCAGCAACAAAGATCAACAGATTCCTATTTCACAATAGGCAGGGATAGTTTGAAACAATATAATAGGTTGGAGTGTTCCGGGACCCTGTATGAGAATGCAGTGTTTCTCTAATAAGTCATGTTAAACTCAGGTGCTGCAACACTGCATCATCATCATAATCTTTATCGTCTTTTCTATAGTGCTTTTCATGAGTAGATCTCAAATACTGAATAAGTACTGCTGATTCATGCTGGCATTTAATTTCATTAGCTCCAACCAGGATCTGGAGTATTTCTCTGGAGCAGAGGAAACTGGGGGCTATTACATCTAATAAGGTCTGTAGGGCTGGTTCTTTGGTGAATTTTATGAGTTGTAACAGCTGGAGAAGATGCCTCTAAAGGAGCAATAAGCTCCATGTTCTCCATGTCCAGGCAAGTATTAATTCAAGTCTTTTCCTCTGCTTAATACATCCTCCAGGTCCCAGCCTATAACAGCTATATTATTGGTGGGTGGGTGTAGATCAGGTGCCAAGGTTGATGCCAGAATTGTTGATTTAACTTTATCTTGTGATTTCTTTAGCTATTAATGCCTGCGTTCTTTTTAGGGATGTCTATCTCTCGTTTGGTAAATTAATAAGGTAGTGGGTTCGATGGTGGAATCCTCATATCTCTGAATTTCCTTTCTTTTTGGTAGTTGCATTGAAGAAGCAATGTACTTCTGTGGCCTTAATTCCTAGTTAGCCAAGTTTTTATTTGGGATGTCCAATAGTCTACAGTGGGTTAATGCAGAGATTCAAACAAAAATATAACAGTTTGAAAAAGCCACACTCATTATTAGGATTTCTAGTGTCCACATTTCTTCTTAAATTCAGCTCTTGGGTTCATGTTCCTTACAGAAGAATATAGAAATAAATGCAAAATAACTTCCCATTTTCATTTTGTTTTCTTCATTGCAGTCAAGTGATGTAAACATATCTATTACCTGTTGGGAATGTTGGAGTGTAGGAATACAATATTGAATCTCTTTCAAAGAATGTGCTTAATTATATATTCTTATTAATCTGTATTTTAATGCATTTTTTATTACAATACAGGCTCCTTGGAAGAGAACCATGTATTCCTTTATGTACTGTATAGCATAAAGCACACTGATTCTTAATGGATGATAGATTATTGAGTAATGAACTCTTCTAATGTAATAACATTTTAAACATTCAAATATGTTCTTAGGTCATGATCCTGCAAGCTCTTTCACACAGGCAGACTCCTTCCTCGCCCCAATTGAAATTAGCATGTGGGTACAGGGTCCATCACACATAGCAGCCTATAGAACTGTGGTGTCAGTTTGAGAACTATAGAAATGTTTTTGGGAAATGAAGGGCCTTATCAGAATAACTACAGACAAGCTATAGTAAGGCTTAATTTAAAATAAGAGTTCGAAGGCCTGTAACGTAGATACTAGATAAATTTTCTTGTTGGACTATGAATTTGCTGCCCACTGGTGGTGAAATTAAAAATCTTGCTATTTTAAGATCAAATTGATTTACAAGATGTTTATTGTTACATTATGTTTGTGTATTGTTTTGACATAGTAAAGATTCAGATTTCAAAAGTGGTCTGTATTTTACTACTACTTTGTATCTAACTTTTTTATTAGTGTATGATTCAAATATATAGACTGCTTCAGTTGAAGTCTATTGCAAAACATCCATTGACTTAAGTCAGATCAAGTTTGTAGTTTGACTGTAAATATGTTATTACCATGTACCATTATTAAAGAGTGGTTTGATCAAATTCTGACTTGATCAAAGGTCCATGCTGCTGGGTGAAATGATCAAATAGGAGGCCCTTTATTCCAAGAATGTGAATTAAGTCCTCAAATGCTGACACACTGATCAATCCTGCAGACTTTACTCATGTAAAATTGCCATTGATAGCAAAGCAAGTTTTGCATACTTAAAATCTGCAGGATGAGTCCCAAATCTCATTTTATTCTTAGAATGAAGACCTTCATCAGGCTCTAGGATTTTTATTTTAAATGTCATAGAACAAGTTAATTTCTACAAAATATTTACAGGTTATTTGCAAAGGGATGAATACCTTTGAATTAAATATATATTTATAACCACTGCTAATATGAGTTATATTATATATTGTATTATATATATATTATATTATATATATCCAGAATTACTTTGGTGGAGCCATTTGGCTTATCCTGTAAATACACAACATTTGGGCAAATATTAGATATGTTTATGTAAAGCTGTAATGGTTTAAAAGTTTAATATGTAGTTATGGTCCCCAACAGAGTAAAATGACATCATTTTACTCAACAGAGCTGCTCCCTGTTAAGGTCAGAGCTGATGTTAGTGACAAAAAATGCAAACATTAATTACAAAAAATTTTTAAAAATCAATTTCATTTTTGACTTGCATAAGTCAAAAGCAAGTATCCATTTCTGTCACTTAAAGAATGAAATGTGGTGGTTTTTTTGTTTTTTTTCCCTCTCTCAAACTTTGGGGGAAAAAAAATCTTGCTCTTTTGTTGAGGTTGTATAGTATATGTCAAGTCTGAGCCTACAGCTCATATTTATAGCTAGTCTTAAAAAACCTTGAAAGAAGCACTTTAGAAAGGACATGCTGACACAACTTAATCTCAACAACACCCATGCTGCTGTAATAAAGAAAAAATTCAAGAAAAGGCTGACTTAGATAAAGATGAAAAGGAAGGTGTGGGTAGGAAATGTACCTCTTTAGTATACTGTCAATTAACATTTTCATATCAGATCATTTTTATTTTAGAGTGAAATTCATCTTTGTGCAGAAATCCGGTGCAAGGCTTAAGCTTAAACCCCATTTAAACTCAAAATAGGATTTTAAGTGGTGTATAGGTCTTGTGTGCGATCTCTGCACAGTGGTGAATTTCACCACTGCTGTGTATTTACTTGTAAACAGTAATGCACAACCATGTGATTTAATTACCATAGGCTGTCTACATTCACTTAGGATCCCTTAAAGCTTGAACCTATCCTGTGGTTAGAACTGAACCATGTGCCACCTTTGGTGGCTTGGGAAATTGGTGATTGTTCACATGTGAGCAATTACAGCAACAGATTTTCCAGCATATACAACAAACATGCATATAGTTGGCGCCCTTAAAATTCCTCTACCATTTGGAAGATTTTACTTGTGTGAGAGCTGTTCCCTGTAAGTATAATGAGGAATACCACAAGAGCTAGTGAAAGCTTTCCATATGCTAGAATATGTACTGTATGAAAGGGCAACATAGCGTGGGACATTGGCTCTGGCAGTTCATGGAATATTTCTGTTGATGTTGTTTTATATAAGACCTATTTGTGTCTTTTCCAAAAAATTTAAATAAAGGACTTAAATTGATGTGTGAGGAAAAAAATGGTTATTCTTGATTTTTTTTTTCAGTTTGTTTACCTTGTTTTGTTTATCTCAAAACAATCCCCATTATGCTGGGTCTTGTAAGAGCACGCAGACAGACAGACTTATGGCACCAAAAAGCTTAAAATCTAAGAGTCAGATCAGTTTAATACTTTATTTTGGCATGACAAGCTATATATGTGTTCCCAGAGTGTGTAAAGAGACCTCTTAAATATTTGTCAGAAGTAGGAACAATCTGGTCCAGGGAGCGGAGTAGGTTTGGGAACTGGGTCAGTCAGTCAGTTTCTGCTGCTCTTTGTGTCTAACTCTTTATAACTACAACAAGGAAGAGGAAAAACATTTTAAAAAAAGTAAAAGTTGGTTGTAAAATCACGAAAATTGGCACGAGGACTTAGAAACTGGGATAATACCTGACATTGCTTTTAATTTATTTTTTTAATAGTTATATTTTAAGTTCATAGCCTCCCCTTCATGGGTTACCTGTTTAAATTGTTTTAATCTTTTTATAAATGTTTGGTAAATCTCTACTCAATGTTACCACTTTTCCTGCCTTTAACAGTGGGATGTTCTATGATGGGAATCATACTTATCTTATTGAACCAGAAGAAAGCTACACTTCACACGTAAGTAGAACTTCAGTTAACCCAGTATTCAGATACACAAGAGATGCAGAAAACAAAAAAGCCTCATCCTCAGCCTTGCACCTCTAGCTTTGGGGCTGGAGTCCTTGTCCTCCCACTTTCAGCAGCTAGTCGATATATTGCTCTAAATGTGCAAACCAAAGGCACTATATTGCATCTAGTATCTGAGTTCCCAGTAGCTAAATACAGTATCAGGAAAACAGGAGGAGTTTTCCTCCAATAATAATAATATGATAAAATAAAATAATAGTTTTCCTCCAATAATACATGTCTTAGCTACCCCTTGGTAGCTTCTTTAAAACGACCTCTTGGTCATTTGTCAGTGCTGAAAATCAGTTAAAACCATATATATACATATCCATTTGCATTTCATATTATTTAACTTTAGAAAATTTAGACCCCAATCCAGCAAAACATTTAAGCACGTGCTTAACTTTAAGCATGCGATTAGGCCAGTTGATTTTAAAGGACTTACTTGTATGTTAAAAGTATAATACATGCTTAAGTGCTTTGTTGAATCAGGGCCTTAATGATCACATCATAATTGGGAGAGGAGGAGAAGAATCTACAATGTGGATAAAGATCCTTGAGGTTTGATAACCTCCGGTGATCCATTATTTCCCCAACATATTGGTTTGGTACCTAATGGAAAAGAGTTTCTATCTCCCTAATATTCACAGGATGGTTCATTTTATCTTGGCTTAATGCATTCTACTGTTTACTATTTCAGGAGGATTTCTATTTCCACTCTGTTTACAAATCCAGGTTGTTTGAATTTCCTTTGGATGACCTGCCATCTGGTATGATTGTTTGTAATGCTCTCTTCTTTTAACTTGTATCTTATTTTGCCACATTTGTTTATCATATTTGGTTTCTAATCTTCTTTGGGGTTTTACTCTTTTGTTTACTTGAGTCTTTCTTTTTCTGCTTAAGTAAAAAACATATGGGGGGGGGGGAAGGAGGGGAGAAGAAACCTAACTATTAACTCAAACCTCACCTCAACCTTCATATTGTTGATATTTTTTAAATAAACTTTGAAGAATTAAATGCTTTATATTCCATTACACATGCAATATGTGCTTTACATAAAAAGTCATGGCAACCTAAAGGTTGATGAAAATAATCCCATAATTACCAAGGACTGATGGTCTCCCCCACTATGAGATAAAGGAATGGTCTACTAGTCTGAGTGTAGGAGTGTAGGGGTGATTTCATATCAGTAATAACCAAAGCAAATGATATGATATCTCATCAGTAGCAACATAGGTTTTTATATTCTTCTGTTCCATGGGAATTAAAAAATATTGTTAGAGAATAAATTATACTCCTCTGTGTGATGGCAAGCAGATATACCATTTTATGTTATGCACCTGTCAATTGTCACAGACTGTGAAGGATTAAGACTTTGAAGAGAGAAAATCCAGGGTTCTTCAAGAGGCTGGCGCTTCAGTAGGTGGTACTTTTTCCTCAGAGTCCATACTAAATCAGTCAGTGCTCTGGGATGATGATAGGAGACACTATGCCATCGGAGGTGCTGTTTTTCAGATGAGACAAAGTAGATGTGATCTTCAGTGGTCATAAAAGTTCTCATAGGACTTTTTCAAAATAGGAGTGATCAAATTCCAACTTGGTTTGTTACATCCCTATTTCTATTCCAATTTCCTTTGTGATTTCAATTGGTCATGGTACTCTTCCTGAGATACTTTTGGATGGGAAAGCGCTATGCATGTTCTCGTCGTTATCATTCACTTGTAAAATGTTGTGAAGTATTACTGTGTGCTGTTACATAGCTGCTACATTCCACCCCAGATATGGCTTCATTTTTATGGTAGGTGAAATGATTCTGAAATAGTTTGTAAATTATTAAAGTAGTCTGAGATGCTATATAAATGTAAGATATTATTATTTCACCAATAAAAAGTTGTAATTTTACCATTTGTCTTCTGGCGGCCCTACAAATTTTTAAATCAAAAGTTAAGAGTTGGTGGCATGACACCAAAACGTGAACTGGATCTACAACATAAGTATAGGTCGGATATATAAAAGCACTCACAGAAAACAGACAAGCAACAATACATTTGAAAGTGGTTCGTGTTGATTCATTGTGAGATCTGGGTGGTGGCCCTCAGGGATAACAGGAGACCCCATTAGCTGACCCTGGCTGTGATTAAATTAGTCTGATCCTCTTCCTATTATTCTCTTGGTGCAGAGCATGTTACACTTAGCATTTCAGTTATTGTACTGCAGCAAAATGTCTTCAAAAGTATTCACATTTTCTATTCTGTAAGAAGAACTGTAAGAATATGTAAAACATATGATGAAATACAGACTGAGGACATGACCCTGCAAAGCCTTATGCAGGTGAATAACTTCACTCAGATGAGTAATACCATTTGTTTCAAAGGAACTACTTTCATGAGTGAAGTTATTCACACGCATACATTTTTGCAGGATTGGATCTTAAGTGAGTACCAGACATTGTCTGATGAGAAAGCTTATAATAAGTAGAGTGGGGCAAAAAATTTTGGGATGAATAGTTAATTCGCCAAAAATGCAGTTTTGTGAACAGAAAGTATTCATGAATTTGGGTCAGATTTGGCAAATAATTTCACCCAGGAAGAAAAGAACATTTTTAAAAGTCTAAATGGAAGGACATTTTGTTTCAAAATGTAGATATATTTATTTTTTTGTTTAAAAAACAAACAAATGAAACAACAACAGCAACAGACAAGAATTTCATTCTGGATTGAACAAAATGTATTTTTTTGACTTAAAACAAAAAAAAATCAGTTTTACATTTCAGTGAGAAAAAATGAAAAAATTCATTTCTGGTTGTCCTGGAAAAAAAAATCATTTTGAATTTTTTTGTTTGGGCCATTGAACCATACAGTATTTGGTGAAATTTAGTCTTTGAACATCAGTTACACCTTCTGAGGATGAAGTCCACAGAATGGCTATATTAGCAGACCTGCATTATTAATAGCAGAATTTTTATAATTTCTCTGCTGTTGGGAAAAGTAGCTGTAATGTTGCCTCCTTTCTAGAAGAAGAATTGAAAAATGAAATCATTATCAGATCTAATTCACAGAAAATGAAAATTTCCATATTGTATTCATGCTGCCTCAAGGTTATGTAGTGAAGTGATATATATATATATATTTTGGGGAACATTAGATTTATTTGGCTTTGTTTTCTACTTAGAATTCTGGCAAATGAACACCACATCACAGAAGTTTGTTGTAAAGCCAAGACACAAAAGGAGTAAAAGGCAGGTATGTGCCTGTACAATTACTAAAGAATGTGCCACCAGACTTGGTTTGCAGCTAATAAAGGAATCTCTCCAGATAAAGTCCTATTGCTCGTGTTGTTTTAGCATGAGACCTACATAAATAAATAAAAAGAGTTGCAAAGGCAGTGTCTAACATCTGAGTAACATTGCTGAAACCTGCTGAAGAAATCCCTTCTTAGGCGCTAAGCATCTGTGTTGTATCATGCAACCATGAGCTACTGGAAATGCAATTTCAAGAGAACAAACAGATATCCCAAATCATGCTGATGTTGTCATGCTTTGCCATGGCTTTCCCTCTTGCAAACCTCAGCTACATTTATTCTGCCATTACTGGATTGCCAAACCGCAACATCTGGGGATTATGATGTTGTTGTTACCTCTAGAATGAAATGATCTTTGTTCTTTAATTGAAGTTAGAAATACTGTACCAATTTGAAATATAGTGTTTGGTTCCTTCATTGAAAAGAAAATATGTTATATGAAAGGAAAGCAGGACAAATTAAAATTTACTATTATAAACTGAGAGCACCATTCTTGTTTATTAGGATGAGAGGTCATTAATTGTGGACATTTATTTTAAGATTGAAAATATAATCTAAACCCTTTATATTTGGGATGAGTGTTATGACCAGGTTAAAAAACAACTATTTATTCCACAAGATTCACTAAAGTTCAGATTTTTAATGTGCTCTCAGTAGATACTCCTTGTAGCTTTTATTTTTAAAAAATCTCCCACAGCACAACGAGTCATGTAAAATATATATGCCACTTTTTAAATTTGTTCTGATAATACAGATATGCATTTAGTGGAGCACAGTCAGAGGTTATGGTAAGGCAGATATAACACTTTAATTTAAACACACTGGATTAGATAAAACAATAAAACAAGTTTATTAACTAAAAAGAGAGAGGTTTTAGGTGAATACAAGTAATGAGGCATAAAAGTCAGCGATGGTTATAAGAAAATAAAGTTAAAATGCTACTGGAGCCTAACTTAACAGTCTATATCAGATTCAAGCAAAATTTCTCACCATATGCTTTCAGCAGTCTTTCTGACCTAACCCTCTAGGTCAGGACCTCTTCTCCCAGAATCCAATGAAGTCTTCCTTCGTTGCTTCAGGTGTAGAGAAAGTGATGGGAAGGGAGAGAGAAATGGGGTCTCTTGGGTGTTTGCCCCTCCTTTTTATAGTTTCAGCCTGCCTTTTGAGAAACATTTACAGCTGGGTACCAGGAGGCAAAAGATCTTTGTGGAAGGATGTTCCCTGCTTCTTTTTCTCACCTGTGTGAGCTGCCTTTGTCTCCTCCTGCTTGATGACTCTGTTTCAGTGGTGGGTAAACTCTAGCCCGCGGGCCACATGCGGCCCATCAGGGTAAGCTGATTGCGGGCTCCAAGACATTTTGCAGACGTTGATTGTCCACATGCATGGCCCTTCACAGCTCCCAGTGGCTGCTGTCAAGGCTGATTCCCCACTCTGGCACTTCAAGTGCAGAAGGTGGGGGCCAGCAAGGATTTTAAAGATTAATGCCGGCTACTCCAGGCTTGTATTAAACTACCAAGGTTACAGTTTCTCTCTGACCTTGGATGGGTAGATGCTGCCACCACCCAAATGCAAAAAAACCCTTTGAAACCAGAAAGGCGCATTTGGGAATTCCTTCCTGTGGGGTACCCTCAAGCCCTTTCACACACACCCTCTCTGGGGAAGAGCTGAGAAAGAAAAACAAAGGAAATCAGCTGTTGCCACCAGCTAATTTAACAACATGTGCACAAACCTCTTAGGACACCAAAAATCCAATCCTGTTCTTAAAAAAGGTAAATGTTATTAAAAACAAAAAGAAAGAAAATACATCTGGAATTTAGGCTTATGCTAGATTTTAAAAAACCCACTTACAAAATTTAAACATCAAGAATAACCTTCTTGAGGTCCAGCTTAAAGGTTACAAGCAAAACAAAAAGCATTTGGGGTTGACACAGAGAAGTCCACAAGCCAATAAGAAATAAACCTAATCGTGTCTTTCTAGACATTCTCTAATTTACGTACATATCTGGGGTTTCAGATAAGCAATCTCTAGGTATGATTTGATGATTTTTCATATCTGGCTTAAGCTTCTCACAGCATAACTGCTCCCTGTTCCTCTCTTTCCCGGAGAACCACAACACACAGACAAAGGGAAGTATTTTCCCAATTTTAAAAAGTTTTAGCCCTTCCATTGGCTCTTTTGGTCAGGTGCCCACTCCTTTCCTTTTACCTGTGGGCTTGTTAACCCCTTCAGGTAAAGCAAGTAGAGAACAACCACCAAGAGTGATTCCAGAGGAATGGTGAACCGCGGCCACTGGCAGCTACGGGGGGCCGTGCCTGCAGATGGTCAACGTCTGCAAAATGTCTCGCGGCCCGCAATCAGCTTACCCTGATGGGCCACAGGTTGCCCACCACTGCTCTATTACTGCTTAAGTACAAATTAGGCAGAGCACACAGACCTGTTTGCCAACCTCAATTTGGAACATGTGTTAATAACACCATATAGTGGAATTTTATAACTTCACATACAATGTTGCCACACATATTTTATGAGGACAATATTGATCACCAAATTATGAATTTTCAAATTATACCTTACAAGACATACTTTGTACAAAGATAACAGTGTGTAGGGTTTGGACAGAGGGGTACATTCTGTCACAGAGTGAGAAGATGCGAGCAACAGAAGAGGAAGATGATTTCAGCAGCAGCTGTTCGGAGGGAGATGAGAAGTGGGGAGACCAGTGGCATTACATGACCTTTTATGAGCACTAAATTCACTTAGAAATATATACTTGTATTGATACCCTGCTGTCATGATTATCTCCATGAGTATGATACATGCACAAACACATCCCAGAAAAGAAGCAGGGATTGAATGAAAAACAAGACTAAATGGCTCAAAGAAAAGATAAGCGCATATTCACTGCCATGAACCAGGGAAATAAAAAAAATGGGTCACATAAATAACTGTTGTGAAATTCACTTTACATCAAATAGTGCTATAGGGATTGTTTGACTTTTCATAAACAAGAAGCAGTTGCTCTAGATTTACAGCAACAATAATAACATAATTCTGCTGGGAAGACCAGGGAAAATAAAGGCGTCATTTAGAAACGTGGCTGTGAATAGCTGTAAACTGGAAGGAAATGTGACACTTAATTGACTGTGTATTAATGATAGTTGATTGACTGATTTAGAATTTGAATAAACAGTACAGCCCTTACAAAAAGGCTTTTTTGGGGGGAAAAGGTAATTGTGCCATTCTGAGAGTTTGTAGCAATTCTGTGAGTTTACAACTGGTGCCAAACAAGTTTTTAAAGATGTAGATATTATTTAGGATCTCTTTCAGAAATCTAGGGTTCTTTTAGAAAGTTCTAAGTTTATTTTGTAGGATTTACATCTATTCTGGAGGGAATGGGGGCAGAGGACACACTACAGTATATATATACATTTACATTTATTATATATCTATAATTTTCCTGTTGACCCTCCAAAAATAATCTGCTGACCAGATGTGGAGTTAAAAGATTGTTCCTATTTATAGCTTGGAAACACAGGCAGATCTGACATATGTACAAATGTACAATAGTTTTTTAATAGTTCTACAGTCAGTATAAATGACAAAAAATGGTGGAAGGATGGCAGCATTTCTAATAAACGAGAACACAGGGAAATGAATTCATAGAATCATAGAAGATTAGGGTTGGAAGAGACCTCAGGAGGTCATCTAGTCCAACCCCCTGCTCAAAGCAGGACCAACCCCAACTAAATCATCCCAGCCAGGGCTTTGTCAAGCCGGGCCTTAAAAACCTCTGAGGATGGAGATTCCATCACTGCCATAGGTAACACATTCCAGTGCATTACCACCCTCCTAGTGAATATTTTCCTAATATCCAACCTAGACCTCCCCCACTTCAACTTGAGACCATTGCTCCTTGTTCTGTGATCTGCCACCACTGAGAACAGCCAAGCTCCATCCTCTTTGGAACCCCCTCCCCCCTTTCAGGTATTGAAGGCTGCTGTCAAATCCCCCCTCACTCTTCTCTTCTGCAGACTAAATAAGCCCAGTTTCCTCAGTCTCTCCTCAGAAATCATGTGCCCCAGCCCCCTAATCATTTTCATTGCCCTCTACTGGACTCTCTTCAGTTTGTCCACATCCTTTCTGTAGTGGGGGCCACAAAATTGGACGCAATACTCCAGATGTGGCCTCAACAGTGCCGAACAGAGGGGAATAATCACTTCCCTTGATCTGCTGGCAATGCTCCTACTAATGCAGCCCAATATGCGATTAGCCTTCTTGGCAACAAGGGCACACTGTTGACTCATATCCAGCTTCTTGTCCACTGTAATCCTGAGGTCCTTTTCTGCTGAACTGCCGCTTAGCCAGTCCGTCCCCAGCCTGTAGCAGTGCATGGGATTCTTCCATCCTAAGTGCAGGACTCTGCACTTGTCCTTGTTGAACCTCATCAGATTTCTTTTGGCCCAATCCTCCAATTTGTCCAGGTCACTCTGGCCCCTATCCCTACCCTCCAGTGTATCTATCAAGCTTAGTGTCATCCACAGACTTGCTGAGGGGCAATCCATCCCATCATCCAGATAATTAATGAAGATGTTGAACAAAACCGGCCCCAGTACCAACCCCTGGGGCACTCCGCTTGATATCGGCTGCCAACTAGACATCGAGACGTTGATCACTACCCGTTGAGCCCGACGATCTAACCAGCTTTCTATTCACCTTATCGTCCATTCATCCAGTCCATACTTCTTTAACTTGCTGGCAAGAATACTGTGGGAGACCGTATCAAAAGCTTTGCCCTTGTTGATGTGGCAAATTAAGATTTGTTTCCAGTTGCCCTTTAAACAGCTATTGTTTGTTAATCTTTCTGCAGGTTCATCAGATTTCACGTAAAGTTGAGGAGGAAACAAAATACATTGAGTTAATGATTGTGAATGATCATCTAATGGTAAGACTTGCGTACTTCGCTATTTGAAATACATCAATAATTTATGATTGTCTTATCTGTCTTCAAGGTGTAAACAATAAAGTACACCAATGATCTTATTAATACAGTTTATTTCCTAAAGGGGGGGGGGACTGATTCTGATCTCACTTATATCATTGTGTGACTCCAGTGAAGTTACTCCTGATTTTCACCAGCATAACTAAGAACAGAATTAGACCTAAAAAATGTACAGAACAAGAATTTGACACCGAATGACCTGCTGTATATCTGACTCCAAGCTGATGGTACATTATATTTACCTATAATAACTAAACAATCCATAATGTTAGTCTGCAGTTTACTAGTGACTGTGCGCAGAATCATTGTTGTTGTTGTTTTTTTTAATGAGAATGCACCTCACTTACTTTGTTACAGTACTAAAGGGCTCTTTAACCTAACGGAGAGAGGCATAACAAGAATCAACAGGTGGAAGTTAAAGCCAGACAAGTTCAAATTAGAAATAAGGCACAATTTTTTTCCATTAACCATTGGAAAAAATTACTAAGGGGAGTTATGGATTCTCCATCTCTTAAAGTCTTCAAATCAAGACTGAATGCATTTCTGGAAGCTATTGGTTAGTCAAATGCAAATGATAGGGGTCAATACAAGAGTAACTAAACAAAATTCTCTGGCATATGTTATACAATAGGTCAGATTAGATAATCTAATGATCCCTTCTAGCCTTAAACTCTATAGCTCTATAATTGTTATGCTTCCCTAGGCTTTTTTCAATTATGAACAGCTTCTCCTAAGCAATGCCCACATTTGCAAAGATACCCATCAAATTCTAGAAGGAATACACGGCCAGCCTTAAATAATTTAAATAACAGAGCTTTATTCCTTTGAACCCTGTGTTGGGTGAGCGTAGCAATAACGTTGAGGGTGACAGTGATTTCTGTGTCACAACAGAAGATGGTAGTTGGTGTTCAGAATTCTCTTTATTATAGTGGCTCTGTTTGAGCCAGAAGAGCAGGAGTCATTGCCTGCTACATGATATACCCATTTGAACACAGCTGTTTCCTGTTTAAAGTTTGCACATTAATTTTCTTGCAGATTAAAATCATTTGGTAAAATGTCTGTTCACTGAATAAACACAGTGATTATTTCATTTGCCTACACTATGAACCTGGGTACATATTAGAGAGAGGCATTCATTATATTTTAAGCAGTACACTTTATGCTAATCCTCTTGCGTTTACAACACTATCTGAACTCTGAGCACCTAGTATCTTTTTAAGGGTCACACATTATGTTGCTGAATGTCCAAACAATTAGAATTAGATAACATTCTAGCAAATATGTCTGTTTAACTTACCTTTTTCCTGTGCCTTATAATTGCTGAATTCCTGCCCAGTTGAGTACGTACTGTTATGCCATGTCTATGCGACAGCGGCAATGCTACAGCGCTGCAGCTATGCTGCTGTAGGCTGTAGTATAGGTGCTTCCTATAACAATGGAAGGGAGTGTTCTGTCACTGTAGCAAGTCCATCTCTCCGAACAGCAGCAACTAGGACAATGGAAGTATTCTTCTGTTGACCTGGCCACGACTACACTGGGGTTTAGGTCGGCAATAGCTACGGCTTTTTTCACATCCCTGAGCGATGCAGCTATTTGATCTAACTTTTAAGTGTAGACCTGGCCTTAGTGATTTCACAGATGTGATAAATCATTGTCTGTTCAAGGTAAGCAAGCTGTTCCCAGGGATCATTGACTCTGCAGTACTTCTTGCTTAATATTCTCATTTTATATCCTATAGAATATAAACTGTGACTATGGAACTTGGACAGAACCATCAAATACTGGAGAATTCTAAATGGATGTAACTTTACCCACAGGCAGTTTCCTAGCTCTGACTCTAATCTGTGATGGATGTAACACACCAATGTATTTTATGGTAGCTGGAAAGAAACGGATATATTCAACATGCTTACTGTTTGGTTGATTAGACCCAAACTTTGCCTTACCGTAAATTTTGTATTGCCTGGTAATGCATAAAAATTCACATTGTTTGTTAATTTCTCTATGATGGAGAGATGGATTTAAATTAAAAGCAAAGCAAAACAAAACAAAAAAACACAATACAATTTCCCCTGTTAGGCAATTATCTGAAAACAAAGAGTGAGTGATCAGTGCTGAATCTTCAGCAGCAGTTACTTCTAGAGATGTGCTCACATAACTGGGTCACAAACAAGGAAGTAAACCAAATGTCTCCATGAGAAATTTTGGTTGGAAAATATCAGTGTTTGCTGAAAAGAACAAAAATGGTCTTAAAATACATTTTATATCCTATCTTTTATTATTGAGTCTGAATAATTAGCAAGTATATAGAATATTTCATCTGTAGATCTTAAAACCTTAATTTCAAAGCTAGGTAAATGGAGGTATAGGGAGATTCAGGGCCTGATTTTCAGAAGGGGCTAAGCACTGTCAGAGCCACTTATTTCTGTTGAACTTGTGGAAGCTCAGCACTCCTTGAAAATGAAACTGTATGTGATTTGTGCAAGGTCACACAGTAAAACAATGGCAGAGCTGAGACCAGAACCCTGAACCATTGCCCTATCCTCTTCTCTAAGAAGATATTGTAAACAGTGATGAATTAAAAACAAAAGTGAAAATGTAGATAACATTGTCCAGTGTCCTTGAAAAACTTCTCAAAACATAACTGAAAATAATGTTTAAATAACTACTATATTTGTGAGAGAAGATGGGTGAGGTAATATCTTTTATTGGACCAACTTCTGTTGGTGAAAGAGACAAGCTTCTGATCTTATGCAGAAGTTGGTCCAATAAAAGATATTACGTCACCCACCTTGTCTCTCTAATATCCTTGGACCAACATGGCTACAACAACACTGCAAATATGAAAGATACAATTTTTGTAATATTCCTGCATGTCCAGTGCATGGTAACAAATTAGTTTTAGCTAAGGTAAAATATTTCTTTTAAAAAGCTCTTCTGTAGTGCAACAACCAGTACTGTGATATTTTTGGAGTTCAGTTTTTCTAAAGGTTTTTTTAAAATATTCTAAATTCAGAACTAATAACTAAAAATACAATATAAGCCCACAGCCCTGCAAAGATGTACACAGTTGTTGCCTCCTCCCCCATAGCAGGAGAAGAGTAACCTGCTGAACTCTCTGAGCTTCAGAAGTACTTGGGAAAAGGGGCCTGCAGTAGGAGAAGCTGGCTATGGCCCAATAGCTGGCCTGACTTACAACCCCAGTTCCAAGGAGAAAAGCTGGGAGGACTCCCATCTTAAGGAGAGACAGAGGGACTACCTAAATTACAACCCCATGACTTCTTCATTTCCGACGTCTGTCTTGTTCCAATTGCTGGATGCCTTAAAAAAAAAAAAAAGAGAGAGCTGGTCCTCCTGCAGTTAGTGCTGGACCCCGCACATGCAGATTTGGGAGGGTAAATGTCTCACAGTGGTTTGATTATGCCCTGCTGTTCAGATTTCCCTCCTTGAGAGGAGGAGGCCTCACATACAACTTCTGGTACCCTGTGTCATGGTGGACTGCCTTCAGAGTACCCTCTTGTGGTCCTAAAAGTGCATTGCTCACAGCACCCACTTGGACTGTTCTAGTCAGTTACACAGACCAGATTAGGTCAAAGCATTTACCCCCTTTGTAGGTTTATTAACTCTTTCTGCAGAGTGAAACTCACTTCTTTAGAAGCTCAAGTTCTCGCCCACTCTGAGTCTGTATAAAAGTCCTGGTAGGTTTTTCTTCCCCCTGTTTATGAGACCCCTCAGCCTCCTTCCTGGAGCTGGGGTTGTACTTCAAATGATCAGCCTCTTTTAGGATTGTCTTGGAGTCTCCAGGAATTGAAGATTAATCTTTAATTAAAGAATATGTCATGTGAAGAAGCCTCCAGGAATACGTTCAACCAAAATTGACAACCCTACTCTCTCAAGTTATGAGTTTCTAGCTCTCCTCCTTGGAGTTGGGTTTCTTTAATGCACTTTCTAAACATTAATTAATGAATCTTCACAACACCATTGTGAGGCGGGTAGGTAATACCCGTATCTGAACAATTTGCTAGACACAATTTTTTAACATTTCAGTCAGCGCAAAAGATAAGCAGCTTGAGCACAGCTTCTGCTGTTGATAGATTCATCTTTTGCTTTACGTTTTTCAGTCAAAATTATTTTTCAGTAATATGTTTCTAACTGGTCTGTGTTTGTTTTTCAGTGTAAAAAACATAGATTATCAGTCGGCCATACGAACAGCTATGCTAAATCAGTGGTGAACGTGGCAGATTTAGTAAGTATTATTCAACGAAATGCTTTTCTAAATGTGTTGTGAACCATGTGGTTGTAGTGCCGATAATTGTAGGAAATGTTATTTCACAGATATACATGATATTAATTTATGTGAAGATTGCAGATATTTATTTAGCTCCCAGTACAGCACGGTATTTAAGCATGTGCCTAATTTTAAATAATTTCAGTGACTTCACATGCTCAAGTACCTTGCTGGATTGAGGTTTTTAAAGCACATCTTATTCAGAAAACTACCCAGTAAGGGTAATGTATTAACTATAGCTGCAACCAGGAAAGTGTCTACAACTATAATGCACTAAAATATAAGGAGAAATTGTATGTTTTATTCAGCCTTTAAGAAATTTGAGTTCATATTATTTTATATGGGGCAGGGGAATATAGGTAGTTGTTGGGGCTATAAATCACACAGCAGATGGCTATTGTGCCCAGAAACATTTCCAGGATTTGCAAATGAAAAATAGTATTCCCACTGTTGACGTCCTTTGGTCTGGGACACGATGGTTCCTGGTAAGTCACTCAGTCTGAAGATAGGCACGGCTGAAGATTCTGTAACAGTGGAAGTGGTCAGGTCTCCCTGATACAGGTACCTGTTGCATATATCTGTTGAGGAGTATAGAACCCTGTTGTTTAAGCGAAGTATGTTGGACACTATAAAATACAGATAAACCCTGATTTTTTCTGAACCTAAATCTTTGAGTTATCCAGAATTCTTGTGTGGCCCTTTAGAGATTTGTATCAAATCTCTCAATTTATTCTTACAAAGGTTTTAGAGTCCCAGAGATCTTTGCAACGCTCAGATCCTACCAGGAGCTCTTTGCTGGTGGACCCTTGTAGTCACGCAGAACTGCTTACTGGGGTGTGGCCTAAAATCTGGATTTTAGCTGTACTACTTCCTGTTTAAAAAAGAAAGTTGGTGAGCCTCAGGGAACAAAATGTTCATTATTACAGACGTAAGTTGTTACAAAAAAAGGGAAAAGAAGCAACTATATTCTATATGATATAATATATTTGTTCATTTTGTTAATGTACTAGATATATAAAGAACAACTTAACACCAGGATAGTATTGGTTGCCATGGAAACCTGGGCTACTGATAACAAGTTCACCATATCTGAAAACCCATTGGTGACTCTACGTGAGTTTATGAAATATAGGAGAGATTTTATCAGAGAGAAAAGTGATGCAGTTCACCTTTTTTCGTACGTAACTTCGTATGCCATTTTATTACTATTTTTTCATTCCATGGGGAGTGCTTTATTATTAGTGGCTGAAACATTTCCTTTCTATGGTGTTATGCAGTGTACAGTAATCCTGACAATAGTGCGTAGGGACAGGGAGGTGGGAGGTTAGAACAATGTAACTAATCATGTAACTAGACACTACTCTCATGCTAGTTTCAATATATTAAGCACAAGCTGCATGTGCTGTGAACTCCTGTTGTCTTGTGTAATTACCTGCCAACACAGATTGCCTGATTGATAGTGCATGGTACTGTGTTGCAATAGAATACTGACAGTTGGCCACTCACATCATTCATTTATAGCAGAACATTGAAACCAATGTGGAGTTCTGCTTAAAAGCCAATGGCACAATATGTGCCAGTAGATATTACTCAGTGCCCTGCATATTGCAGGATTACTGAGGTTCTCTATTCCTTCAAAATACTTTGTTCTCAAGAGACAAGTGCACCATAAGGATCATAAGCTGAGTATCATTACTGGGAGGAATGTTTCTGTTCTTCCCTAATCCTCTGAATTGTTTTGTTAGTGTGATTGGTGTAATAAAACCTAACAGAAAAGAGAAAAGGGTGGTCTCTTGGTGAGAGACGGGATTGGGGCTCAGTTCTCTGCTTTGCCACGGACTTTTTGTGTGACCTTGGTCAAGTCACTTAGGGCCCAATCCCATAGACATTTAGGCACATACTAAATTAGTCCATCTGACTTTACATGAGTAAAGTTAAGCATGGTGCATAAGTATTTGTAGGATCAGGTTTTTAATCTTTCTGTGCCTCTGTTCACCATCTGTATAACTGGGGTAAAATACTTTATTTTTCCCACCCTTTGTCTTGTCTGTTCAGATTGTAAACTCTTTGAGGGCAGGGTCTGTCTCTTCCTGTGTGGCTGTAGAACATTTTATTCAGTGCGGCCCCAATCTTGGTTGGAGCCTCTACATGCTACTATAATACAAATAATAATAATAACAATGTCTGAGAACATTAAATTCCTAGATCATCTAGAAATAGCAGATCCTACAATTACATCTTTTTAGAAGGGATACAAACAGTGAAATTGAGGGATCGGGCTGCATGGTTGTGTGGTGACCCCATCTGGCCTTGGAATCTGTGAATCTATGAATCCCCCTTCTGTCATGGACAAGGGAAACAGGTTTGCCTGTACAGCCCTCAGCATGCTCTCATCTGCAGCTCTAATGAAATCTCATGCCTCAGGACTTCAGCCAGTCATCTGCAGGGGCTAGGAAGGATTTTTTCCCCTGACACATAATTGGCCTGACGTATTGTGGGTTGGTTTTGGTTTTTTCCACCTTCCTCTAAAGAATCAATGGTCAGCCACAACTGAAGACGGGACACCAGACAGGGTGGATCAATGCTCTGAGGGGGTTCAAAGAATCCTCTTTGCTAATGATGCCTGGCTGGTGTGTCTTGCTCATATTCTCAGGGTCTAACTAAAGTTATTGGGCTTAATATAGGGGTATTTGGTTGAAATTTAATACAGGTGGTCAGACTGTGTGATGTAATGGCCCCTTCTGGCCTTAAACTTTATGAAAATATGAAACTATTTTATAGGGGAGTTTCTCCCTCAACGAATTTGCCGGTGCATGAGAACAGATGTTATTCCTCCTTAGTCTGTTTTGGGAAAGGTTTCCTCGAAAGAATTGTGAAAGCTTCTTTGGTTTTCACAGCTCTCTATTCTGTTCGTGTGCAGTCAACAGCACAGTAATTGCAACTGGCATTTGGAAATAAGGGAGGTAAATAGAGGGATTGGCTAACGTAAGAAGTAAAGTTTCTCATTTTGTTTTGTTTTTTAAAGGGGGAGTCAATTTCAGAGCAGTCGGAGTGGTGCAGCCTACATTGGTGGAATTTGTTCACTATTGAAAGGTGGAGGTGTGAATGAAGTAGGTGTGAATATTCATACTAGCACAAATTGATATGGTAGCCACGGTGTCTGTGTCCGCACAAGCATTTTTCTCAAAATGTCCCCCTATTGCATGACCAATACAGAACATTAATACAGTCCCATGGAATAAAGTTCAAAATAGAGGATAATGCTAAAAGGCAAACGGAATAAGCTTGGGTTTGGGTTCAGTTGAATTTCCAAACTAGAGTCTGCAGCTTTCTCTCCTTCACACTTGAAGCTACTCTGGTAAGAAAAAAATCTTACCTATTCTTAAGAGTGTGTTTTGTCTTTCTTGCTGATCCATTATCCAGCTGCAGTTAAATGAGTCTTCACTGAAGTAAGAGCCATAAAACCGTTGATCTGCTTTTGCCTTAAAAGAATCTTATTTTAAAATGTATAAAAGGTGTGTTTTATGTTTTCAGATTCTTGTGTCAAAACGATTATTGTTCCCATCCTGTTTTGTTTCTTTCAGTTTGGAAAGCCAGACTTACTTGCAGTGACATTGGCACAGTCGTTAGGCCACAATCTTGGCATTTTTTCAGATAAAAGAAAACTACTAACTGGTAAATTTATGTTTGTTTGTTTGTTTGTTTGTTTGTTTTTCCTTCTTTCAAGTGTAGATCTTTATACAGTGGAGGCGTTTCCTCCTGATTCCACTGGAAAATAAGAAATGAAAAGCAAGAATTTTTTTCTAAGATCGTCAAGATTGCATAGTAACGTGTGTGATTTTATGGAAGAAAGTTTGGCCAATGTGTACGCATAAATTTGAGTCCTGTGCATAGTGAAAAAAGTAAATGTTTCTTTCCATATTGTATTTGGAGGAAATTAGGAATATAGTGTTTTCAGTGTTCTTTTTAAGATGAGAAACATAATATATGTTATGCAGAGATTTTAAAATTGTCAGACTCAAAGTGTGAATTTTAATTTTGTTGTTGTTGTTAGGTGAGTGTAAGTGTGAGGACACATGGTCTGGATGTATAATGGGAGACACTGGGTAAGACATTTCTTTATAGGAACTTCCATGTTACGACGTAAAGCAAATGAATCAACAAATATACCTTTCATGGTTGAGCTGAGCATCTGCTATGAAAAAGTTGTACATGATTTAGGGCAATATTAAACACTCTTTCAACAGTGAGAAAAGGAACATATTCAATATATGAGAGATTAAAACTGTCAGTTACAGAGTCTAGGCCAAATGCTGCAAATACTTGTACTACAAAAAGGCTTACAAGTTAGAATGGGAGTACTGATTTGCAAGCAGATATTTTCACCGCATGGCTCTGAATCAAGTACACTAGCAACCCCTTTCCAAGAATATGGCCATATGTTTCCCACCATATTTTGGAAGCAGACAAAATATTGTATAATGGTCAAAAGCAACTTGAGAAATAAATAACCAACTACCCTATTTCTTTGTAGTTATTATCTTCCAAGCAAGTTCTCCAAGTGTGACATTGAGGAGTATCATGAATTTTTGAACAACGGAGGTGGCGCCTGCCTCTTCAATAAACCATCCAAGGTAATTAACAGCTGATTATTGAGAAAGGGAACAGTGGTCAAGGTATACTTTACTTCTTACCTTTCCACAATCTTATACATATATTTTTGCAGCCAGAACTCTTGGAAGAAGGAAACTACCCTTTCTGGCTAAGACTCAGAGGGTGAAATTCGCCCTGTGTGAAGGGATCAGCACAAGACACACACAACATGTAATCCTTATGCTTTAACAAAATCTTGTACAGATTCTTCCAGCATTTTAGAGCCTTTCTTTCAGAGCAAAGCTCTTCCTCACATACACCAGAATAAATCTTCAGTGTAGCACCGAATAATAATTGTAGAGCCTGTATTTGTGGAACAATCAGAAGAGTGTGTAGCTGGACTCCCTCGTGAACAGCACTTGACCTGCTTCTGCCTATTGATTGAACAAATGATATAAAATGGAAATGTATATTTGCAGCTAGAAATTTAAGGGAAAATCAATATAAATTAGAGGTAAAGAAACCCCTAGCAAAAAAGTTGGCACCTTTAGAATGGTGGCTTCTGCAATAGGTTAGTTGGTGAACACCGGCTTTGTTTATTGCAGCAGTAGTCAAAACCCAAGGTTGTCAGGATGGGGATCTTGAATCCTTTGTTTATAACTGATGCTATCATCTACAATGCTAATCCTGGGACTAGTGGGGAAAGATGCAGACAGGTTAAATTGGCAGCATTAATGGCCACAAAGGATTTTTATTTCTGCAGTAGCTGGAGGAATAGAGTAAATTTTATGACCAATTGCACTGCTGCAAAATTGCAGTAAACACTAGAGGGGGGCATTGTTCTTCACTTGGATAGTTTATGGCTGCAGGTTTGTAGATTTCTCATTATGAGAGAACTGCCTTTATCAAGTAAACAAGAATGAATTTGCTTTTTCTCTATCTCAGCACCCCAGTGAAAATCATCTCACAAGGCTCACATATTAAATGCTGTCTTCTCATTTGGATGATTATAATAGGGAGTACATCTGCAAAGTGTTGTGTGTTTCTTTTAACAGATGTACTTAATGATATAAGGGAGAGTCAGCGTTGTTTATTTTGTTGATAGGATGTAACTGTTTCTTGTTTTTGAACACCTGTATCCTTCCTTTTGCAGGTCTAATTTTTCATATCTCATGACAGATGATGAGAAATGTTGATTGTTTAATCCCTTCACTGGGTGGATTCTTTTTTGTAACAAAATGATTTTTAATAGAATGTATGCTCACCATGGCTTTGTTTACTCATTATGCTAATTCACAAAAATACTTCAGTAGAAGTTTTTTGTATCCCTTATCACAATTTAGATTAGCAGCATTTAGATTTTTCTTTTATAGGATATGAAAATGTGAAAGAAAGAAGTGGAAACCAGAATGATCAAGTTGCAATGTAAAACATTGTATCCAAAATCTTTTAAAGTAAAACATTTTTTTTAAATGAATGTTTATTTAATTCACAAGTCTTTCAGAGATGCATGCTTCATTCTAGCAAGGAAGGGGGAATACGTACCTCTTTATAAGAAGCATGGGGGAAATGAAACCATACGTTTCAGGTTGTATAGTCCTACAACACTCCATTGGAAGGTTGATATTAAAATCAAGATCAGCCAATTAAGACCCCCCACCCCAAACAGTGAAAATGTCACCTTGTGATTAATTTAATGTATTTAAAGTCCTGTTGTACAAATTGTACATAGTTAAGAGTTGAGAAGTTCACTTGGGATCTTGGGAAAGATTTGTAGCATTTTGTTTTTCTTAATTTTTGCACTGCAGCTTCTAGATCCTCCAGAATGCGGCAATGGTTTTGTTGAAGATGGAGAAGAGTGTGACTGTGGTACTACTGCAGTAAGTACAACGTAATACGGTGCCTACTGCAATGGACCCAGCGTGGTGGTGGCTTTTGGTTTTTTTTATATATATATATTTATATATATATATAAAACGTTATATGGATATATATATTTGGATATATATATTTATATATTTAATGTTAAATAATAATCATAATTAAGGCTGCAAAATCAGGCCCTGAAAGATAATTTTTTAATATTTGGGAAATGATATTAGTATATCAAGAGTTTAGAGTGGTCATCATTAAAATTGTCAGCATTTGGCAACAGATACCACACAGTTATTACAATTATGTCCTATTTTATATACAGGGGAAACTGTGGTATCTCAGACTCTACTATGTGGAAACCCTGATGTTTTAGTGGCATGCATATGGTATATATTCAGCTTCACACCGAGCCCGGTTAAAATCTACTTGAGTTTAAAAGCACCTGGTAGCAGTAATGGAGTTTTTGGAGAAATAGTGTTTTTTTCTGTAACATTTTGCATGTGTGTCTGTTCCCCAGGAGTGTGCCATTGAAGGAGGAGATTGCTGTCATACATGCACCCTGACTGCAGGCTCAGAGTGCAGCAATGGGCTTTGCTGTAGAAAGTGTCAGGTAAGTACAATGAACTTAAAGTGACTTGTGCTGTCATTTATGGGGAGTTAATGAGTTTAGGTGATTATAGGCACAATTGCACATGCATTTTTGCTCTCAGACCTTGGACCTCCCTTTCTGAAATTTTGACCCTTAAAAGTCATCAAAAACTGGTTAATCTAGCTCTGATCTTTGTCTTTTAGATTATAAGATACTTGGGGCAGGGAGTGTGAGCCAAATTCAGAGGTGAGTCTAAGTCTAGACTAATTTACACCTTCTTCCAACCCCAAACCAGTCCAATTCAGTTTGGACTCCTTCTGGATTCCTTTAAACTTACATGTTCAGATGCATGCACCATGTCACTTACACATCACCTCTGAATTTGCCTCTCTGAATCAGAGGAAGTCTCTGTTGGAGAAAATTATAGAACAGAGGGTCACAGAGAAGAGTGTAGTAAGAAGAGCAACTAGCAGTAAGGTGTAAGGATGTGTAAGTTAAAGGAGGCCTGCTGTTACTTTAACTTACACCTCCTCCTGGTTCCTTAACATGGCACTTGATCCAGAGCCCATTTAATACAATGCAAATCTTTTTATTTAATTTATTGGGCTTTGGATCAGGCCCTATGTAAGTTACACAAGCTTAAACTCCCCTAAGGCCTGGTCTGTTCTAAAAAGTCAGGTCGACCCAGCTATGTCACTCAGGGGTGTGAAAAACCCACACCCCTGAGCACTGTAGTTAAGCTGGCCTATCCCCGATGTAGACAGCGCTCGGGCTTCTTCCGTCAACCTAGTTACTGCATCTCAGGAAGGTGGATTAAGTACTACGGCAGGAGAACCTGTCCCATTACTGTAGTGAGTGTCTACACTGAAGTGGTACAAAGACGCACCTGCGCTACTGTAGAGGTTTAATGTAGACAGCCTTAGACTCATAAATCAATCAATAGACAGAAGTAGGTCAAGTGTCTGTTCACGAGGGAGTCCAGCTACACACTCTTCTGATTTTCCCCTTTTGTCTTCAAGCTGAGGACACTGTTCTAATAAAGGACAATGCTCATCTAATAAATAATAATAATGTTATCAATGCAGTGTACTTATATGTGATATTATCATCTTGATCGATGGGCATTTATGTGTCTGACTCCTATAGGAGAAATGTTAGTAATACTCAGTGCCATATTCTGCTTTGACTTTGGGCTCATCATTAAACGCAAATTATGCTGTAATAGACCTCATTTTTCTAAGCACATTTCTTTTAAAATGAAATTTTAAAAAACCCAGAAGATGTCTATGAGTAAAATTTTCAAAAGCACCTAAATGACTTAGCAGCCAAGTCCCACTGACTTTCAATAAGACTTAGTCACTTTAGAAAATGGAACTAAGGGTTATCTGCCACATAGAGTTGTGAAAGTGGGTTAAACTAAACAGGAACAAGGCAATGTAAAAGAGTATGCCTGCCCTGTAGCGCCCCTTGCTGGCCAAGTGTGGCTCTGTACCACCCTTGCCTCAGTTTCCCCACAAGTTAGGGCTTCCATATAATAATTACACTAGAATTATCTGTGTTTATGCCTAACCCGGACTACTTTATTGGTACAATGTCACCTTAACACTGTCACTCCCACCTCCACAAACAGGAGGATTCACCTTGTTCTAAACCCTATTGTCCAGAAACAGCTATTTTTCCTTCCCTTTGCAATTCTTCCAGTTCACCCATTCCTAGGGGTGCCTCTTACTAGAACCCTTTTCAACCGCAGTGCTCACTGGTTAAACATCCTCCCAACCCCTTGCCAGGTGATATCTCTTCAGGCTCTCCCTTGGGAGATAAGCTTCTCTAAGCATGTTATGAATCTTGCCACCCTTCCCCAGGGATCTTTTCTGGAGACCAACTTCTTGTCTAGCCCAGGACCGGGTGTCTCTTACCAGGCTCAGCATCTTTCTTTTCTCCTCCCTGTTTCCTGTCAGAGGTGCCCATTATAAGGCCCAGTTGCCTTCCCTTAAGCCTAATTGAGCAGCAGATCATCGATGCATTGGTCCTCACACCCTCTGAAAGGGCCAGTCACCCTGTGACAGGCACTCTTATTCTGAAATAAGTGTGTCCACGTGTGGAGTTAATCAGGAACAGCTGTATGTATACACAAGCCCTTAGGCTCCTAAGTCACTTAGGCACTTTTGAAAATGTTACCCTATCTGTCTAACTTATCTATCTATTTTTTTCCACAGCTGGAAGGGGAGAAAAAAACTAATCCAGGTGTCAGAAAAAAGTTTCCTCTGATGTTAATCAATTTAGCTCTACTAAAGTCAATGACGCTACACTGATTACACCAGCTGAGGACCTAGAACACTAGCAGGTCAAATCTTATACAAAATCTGTGTGCAGAAAGAGAGCACAAATTAAAAAAGTGACCTGTGGTGCACAGATTAACAGACCAGTCAGGAAAAACTGAGGGCTCTGAGGTGGACCTGAGGCATGTCCGTAACTGGTGATGCAACTGAGAAAGAAGCAGTGATGATTGATTGGCAAACAGGGTGCACAGCACTGACAGTCCCCACTTCTGGGATATTTTGCCATTTCTTCAGGTCATGAGGCTTTTGGCAGTGGTATAAAATGTTTATTCAGAAATTAAACACCATACATTCTGTAACTACTAAATTTCTCATCCTTAAATGTATGGATACTTTAGAAGTGGGTATAAAATGATGTGGAATCCAACAATGTTTATGGCCAATTTCTACCCTCATTTACACTGTTATAATTGAGTTACATAAATGTAAGTGACCCAATGATCTCTTACTAATGACCTGGGGTAGCTGTGCTGGAGGAAGTGAAAATTATAAAAGAGAATCGTAATCCAGTGGTTAGGTGCTAGTCTCAGGCTTAGGAGGCTCAATTTCAATTCCCTTCCTCCACACACATCCTGTGTGCTTTTGGGCAAGTCATTAGTCTCACTGTGCCTCAGTTCCCTCTCTGTAAAATGGGGTAAAAGCATTTTTCTACCTCATCAGGGTGTTGTGAGGATAAACATTAAAGACTGTGAGGTGCTCAGGTACTACAGTGATGGGAGACATGCAAGTATCTTAGGTAGATTAATAGAAGTGAGAGCAAAACTTGGCCCTTACACTTGTAACTGAAAACATAAGGTGATTGTTTTCTTAATCCTGGTGACGTGTGGAATCTAAACTGAGTCAAAACAGCTTCCCAAAAACAGTTGAAAATTTTCCATTGTTTGATTCTGGTTAAAACTGTTGAAATTATTATTGCATGAAAAAGCTGGTTATAGAGATACTAAGAAAGTGATTTTTCAAACTTGTTTTAGTTTGAATCTAAAGGAGTTGTGTGCCGAGATGCGGTAAATGATTGTGATATTCCAGAAAACTGCACAGGAAACTCCAGCCAGGTAATATTTTAAAACCCTTTCACAAAAAGGGAAAAGGTTCAACACATGCACAATCTCAGTCAGTATGAGAGTTATTGTAGTAGTATGTAAGTTGTTTAAATGTTGTATAAAAATTACTTTAAGTTTAGGGGAAAAAGTGATACTGAAAGAAATTTTGAAATGCCACTAATGGCCTTAGATTTATAAATTGTTTTTATAGCCTGCTCACTATCTGAATTATCAAGTGGTTATTTTCTCTTTCTATAGTGTTCTCCCAATATTCACAAAATGGATGGGTATTCATGTGATAACAAACAGGTAATTATAATTTGAATTTATATTTTTAGTATTTTTATAGATGGGAAAACATATTCCTATAGGTTCTGATCTGAGATCCTTTGAAGTCAGTAGGACTCTTACCACTAACTTCAAAGACATTTGGATCTAGGCTCACAAAGTATTTTCAATTAGAAAGTAGAACCACATTACGCGTTAATTAGTCTTTCCATCACATATTGCAAAATAAACTGAATAATAGTCGTTTACCTGATTTGAAAATGTATTTGACTCAGTTGTGAAAATGTGAAAAAACGTTTTTTTGTGTCTCTTCTGTTTCTTTAGGGTATTTGTTTTGGAGGAAGGTGTAAAACCAGGGATCGGCAGTGTAAATACATCTGGGGTGAAAGTGAGTAAACATTATTGTTTCTAAGTTGACTTTCATTGATATAGCTCTAAAGATTCAAGTATCTTGTGGACATACACCTACCTGGAGTAATTAAAATCAGTCAGAATTTAGCTGGGACTGTGTGCCATGATATGGACTCACCATGAGACTGGGTTCCATATGTAAAAGAGGAAACTTGTGAACTTTGCCCTTTAGTTCTTGTGTTTTGCCTGGACTCACTTTTAGTATAATTGTTTACTTTTTTATGAAAAGGAGTGGGCAGTTGCTCTGTGATCCTCTGTCTTCCTTCCCTCACTTTACTTCTGTCCCTGGCTATTGAAGACCCTTCAGCCTAACACCCATGTCTCCAGCCAACGAGTGCTTGGCTTGACACTCTTCAAAGACCATCACTGGTGATCCATGCATTAGTCAGAGGAGGTCACTCAAGAGTTTCTTCTCTCTAGGGACTGAGCAATTGCTTCTGCTATGCTCCCGGTCCCTGCTGGCCCTGGGAGCTTAGAACAAGCCCAGAACCTCCCTAGATTGCCATGGTGATCAGTTTCTTCACACTGATTGGTGTACTTATATTTAGTTAGCAGTTAGGAAGGTGTTTGAAACCATGGCTAGAAAAAATAAATGGTTGCCAGAGGTCTTCATTCATGCCTGCTTTAGTGCATATCAGTTTATTTAAACGTGTGGAATTTTGTGTGCCGGTTTTAACCTGGCACCTGAAATACCAACAGAAGAGTCTCCGCACACAGAGCTGCACCCACCGGTTTAACAAAATGTGTTTAAAATCACACGTCTAATTAAACTGATGCAACTTTGTGTGTTGAACACGACAATGTGTAGAAAATAAGATTCAACTTAGGCTATGTCTACACTAGAGAGCTTACAGCAGCACAGTAACATCTCTCGTGTAGCCGCTCTATGCTGATGGGAGAGAGCTCTCCCGTCAACATAATTAAATCACCCCCAACGAGCGGCGGAAGCTATGTCCGTGGGAGAAGCTCTCCTGACGACATAGCGCTGTCCACACCAGCACTTCTATCTGTGTAACTTATGTTGCTTAAGGGTGTGGTTTTTTCATACCCCTGAGCAACATAAGTTTTGCCAACATAAGTGGTAGTGTAGACATAGCCTTAGGCTGTTAGCTCTTTGGGGCAGGGACTCTCTATGTGTTATGCGTTTGTACAGCACCTAGTACAATGGTGTCCTGGTGCATGAGTAAGGCTTCTAGGTACTACTGCAAAACCAATACTATTACTACTAATAATAATAAATGTTGTGGGAAATGTCTTCAGCAGCAGGTCAGTCACAGACCAGTACTTGCTGTGCCTGCTATGTTTTGGACAAAGAGATTCACTCCTAGCTTGCTGTTCAGGTACAAATGAAGGGTGCTTTCGCATTGACTGTCTCAACTTGTTCAGCATTGACTATGTCACTCTTGGTACTGGCAGAAGCTAAATGATTTCTGCCAGAGCTTCAGCTTTCTTTGGAGATGAAGAAAAACAATATAAATTGTAACAGGAAAACCATGAGTTGAGAGTTTAAGTTTGGCTTAGATTCTTACTCAGAAAGTTCAGATGCTTTTATAAAGCTTATCCAAAGAACGTGTTGAGTCTGAATAATTGGGCTGGAAGTCTCATGAGAGCAGCCATGTCATAAGCTATCTAGTACCTCCTGCTGCTTGGGACAGAACAAAGGAGAATAGGTTGTGTTGTATTTCAGGCACTTAAGCTACTGGTCCCTGATAAAACCAAGAAATATTTAGGCACATTAAAAGGAAAAATAATGGAGGAAAGGATGAGAAATTAGCTGCAATTTTTAAAAAACTAGATTTGAGTCGTAGGCTAAGGTTTTGGTTTTATTATTGTCTGAACAGGTTCTTCCATCATTTAAGATAAGTAGAGAGATCCAGGGTTCCTGGCAAGTATTTGGTTTTATAATCTAGTGCTGTTATAACTCAAGATTTCCCCCCAAACACTTTAGAGCCTCAAACTGGCCATAATCAAAAACATTTTCCTTGAAAACTGGTCTTTACTTGTAAACAAGGTCTGGAGTGAAGACATCCTTGGAGAGATAATTAGAGCCAATATTCCTGGAATAAAGTAGAGGATATTTTTTTATTTATTTGATCTACGATCTGATTTCTAACATCAAATTTGCATCAGGCTTTTAAAAATGTGCATAATCTTATTCAAAGAAAATTGTTTCTGTTTTTAGAAGTGACAGCTGCTGACAGATACTGCTATGAGAAACTGAATATTGAAGGGACTGAGAAAGGTAACTGTGGAAGGGGCAAGGACACTTGGATACAGTGCAACAAACAGTAAGTTCATCTACTCTGGAAAGCAACTTGTGTGAGATTCTCGCCCTGATCCAATCCTTCACCTGTCATAAACAGGCTCTAAAAGCCCTGGATCTGGCAGGGGGAGAATTCCCCTGGCACAGAAACTGAAGAAGACATCTGCCTTCTAAGGACCACCTACAACTCAAGCCCCAGTTTAGGGTGTCAGGAATGGAGCCAGGGGTTGGAGGAGAGTCCCCATAGTCTGCATCAGCTTCATGGAGTCTCATCTGCAACAGACTGTGGAGCAGTCCAGAAGAAGGCGGAGGGGGATGCTGTATCAGAACAGCTCTCAGATCAGCCAAATTTATGCCGGGGCCACTTTGGCCACCACAGCAACCCAGAATCCAGGAGGTGTTAAGGTGTTAATGTCACTACCTGCCTCCTCATTGCTCCAAGGCTCTGAAAGGCGGCACATAATATCACTCCTTCACTTTGCTCTAAGAGTATGTCTGCACTGCAGCTGGGAGTTGTGATTCCCATTGTGGGTAGACGCATTCGCGCTAGCTTAGCTCGAGCTAGTGCACTAAAACTTGCAATGTGGACATAGCAGCACCAGTGGTAGCTTGGGCTAGCTACCTGAGTCCAAGCCTGCCCAACCACCTGGGTCTGAGTTGGGGTAGCTAGCCCAAGCCACTGCGTGTGCTGCAATGTCCAGGCTGCTATTTTTAATGTGCTAGCTTCAACCGAGCTAGCATGAATCTGTGTACCACGCTGGAAATCACACCTCCCAGCTGCAGTGTAGTCAGACCCTCAGTGCAAGGCTGGGCCTGACTCTCTATGGCCTGGCACTTTGAGAAGTCATTTACATCTGTGAAAACCTGGTGTAAAATGCCACCATTCTGATTTTGTAACTTAGGGCTTGTCTTCACTACCCGCCTGGATCGGCGGGTAGAAATCGATCTCTCGGGGATCGAATTATCGCTTCTCGTCGGGACGCGACAATCAATCCCCGAATCGACGCGCGTACTCCACCAGCCCAGGTAGGAGTAAGCGCCGTCGAAGGGGGAGCCGTGGCGGTCGATTTGCCGCCGTCCTCACAGCGGGGTAAGTCGGATCGGATACGTCGAATTCAGCTACGCTATTCGCGTAGCGAATTTGCGTATCTTAAATCGACCCCCCCCCCAGTGTAGACCTAGCCTTAGGCACCCACTTTGCCCAGGTACAAATGACTTATCAAAGTGCAAGGCAGTGGAGAATCAGGCCTACTGTATGGAGTATAAATGTTTTTGAAACGAAGATCCAAATCATGGGCCCCAAAGAGACAGTACATAGAAGAGATAATCTCAAAACAGAAATTTGGATTCAAATACCACCAGAACTTTGGGAAAGCTTGGATCTGAGTCCACATTCTTCTCTCCTACAAATAAAATCCTCAAGTAGAGAAAATGCTGATTGGAAGATTTGTGTATGGTATCATAATATTTTTTACCAAATCTCACAAATATTTGAAGTAAATACTGCCGCGTCTTATTTGTGAAGAAATACATAAATTCTGGACATCTCTGGCAGAAATCAGTGTTGCTATGGAGAGCCTAGGCCTTAAACTTGTGTACACTGGGTGCTAACACATTTTGAAACAACAATTAAAATCCGTTTATAAAAAGCCTCTTTTCCTAGTGTAGCCTTAGGTGAGGCTCAAGGGCATGGCAGTTCATGAGGTAATTCTCCACTGCCTTGCACTTTAGGTAATTGTTTAAACCTGTGCAAATTAGGTGTAAATGACACCTCAGATGCAAGACAGTGAAAAATCAGACATGTACCAGTATAACTATTTCAGGTAGGAGGTGATTTTAAGGTGGACACAGTTACACTGGTCTAAAGGTGTATTATACTGGTCTAGGTTATTCCCCTTCCTGTATGGGAATGGCTATATCAGTATAAGAACTTTTATACCAGTATAATGGCATCCACATTAGGGGGATAGTACTGGTATAGTTAAAGTGATAAAACTTTCATGTGTAGACAAGACCTCAGGCTCAAAGAGTCTGGCCACTGAGGTACTTGAAGCAATAGCAAAGAAAGATAACAGGAAAATATGTAAGGCAGGTAAGCAGAGAAAATTTGCTCGACGATGGGAACATAGGCCTGGTCCACACTAACCCCCCACTTCAGACTAAGGTACGCAAATTCAGCTACATTAATAACGTAGCTGAATTCGAAGTACCTTAGTCCGAACTTACCGCGGGTCCAGACGCTGCAGGCAGGCTCCCCCGTCGATGCCGCGTACTCCTCTTGCCGAGCTGGAGTACCAGCGTCGACGGGGAGCACTTCCGGGATCGATCCGGGATCGATTTATCGCGACTAGACAAGACGCGATAAATCGATCCCAGAAGATCGATTGCCTGCTGCCGAACCAGGAAGTAAGTGTAGACGTACCCATAGAGAATTATGGTCCCTTTTGTCTGTGATATTGGACTTGAGCACTTATGTAAGTGAGGGAGAAATAAGTGGTGGTCTGCCATTCTAATGGGCTGTATACCAGTTACCAGCACATGTGAAAAAACAAAAGACCTGTCAATGACACTAATTTTTTTTATATAAGTGTAAACTATTTTTATTGGATTATTTTTCTGAGTGAATGTCTATTTAACTTCTGAATACAGGGATGTGCTTTGTGGATATCTTCTGTGTTCCAATATCTCTAATGTCCCAAGACTTGGAGAACTTGATGGTGAAATCACATCTTCAGTCATACAGCTGGGGAAATCCTACAACTGCAGGTAATTCTTAAAACCCTATAAAATGGAACAGAGATGATTTTGCCCTCCAAATTCCCCTGCTATGGAAATGTCAGCAAACTCATTTCTAAGTGAGAAGCAACTGCTGCCATTAAAAACAAAACAAAAGCCAATGTAAATTGAACTTCAGTCTGACCCCCACCAGTGCTCCTTCCAGATTTGGATTGAGGCACATTATAATGCCATTTTGGGGAAGCTTGCCCTGCTTCTTCCTGCATTTATTCTATGGCTAAATGCCCTAGAATATCAGCCTCCAGGAGTTATGTATGTTTAATCTGAGTATTTTAAAGGGTGTTGTGCGGAGAGCATGTCTACGGCAGAAATATAGTATCTTAGTTTGCTTTTTATTAGGGTCGCTGAGAAAAAACCTCCTATCCTCCCCAATATATTTTATGGATCCTGCCTGGTTTCTGCATATTAAAATGACACAAACAAAAATGAATGTGCCACACAAGAATCCAGTGTATTGAACAGTCTTATGTCTGAAGCAGTGCGCAAATATATTGTGGCTCTTTGTTTGTTTTGCAGTGGTGGCCATGTTAAGCTAGATGAAGAAACAGACCTGGGCTATGTTGAGGATGGAACGCCATGTGGCCCAGAGATGATCTGTTTTGAGCGCAGATGTCTCCCCACTGATTCCTTTAACTTCAGCATCTGCCCAGGCACTACAGATGACAAAATTTGTTCAGGACATGGCGTATGTTTTCATGTTTTTTTAGCCTTGACTTTTACATTTCTGCTGCCTTTATTGAATGCTTCCAAGTTTATGCATTTATGTTACTAGGTAGATCATTTTTATTAAAGTAAACTGAATTGTTGGCGGTACAAGTTAATTTTCTAGATACACTTTTAAAGATTGTATGTCAAATATAAAGGTAGTGAATACATCGGAATCAGGGCAGTCTGAGCTATGTATTACAGTACGTGTATATACTATTATTACAAAAGTTATATAAATTACTTAGTTTTCATCACTTCCTCCAACTTGCTTCATCTTTCCTCATGTGAATTTAAAGGACTTAATACCATGCTCTGGGAAACTTTAAAATATATAGGTCCAGATTTGATTGTCATATTCTGGACCCTTTGTATTGTACGGGTAGCACAAAAGGTCCATAAAGCACTGGATCTTATCAGGTGAGAATTCCCCCAGTATGGGGAGTTCTTAGCCAGTTCACAACTACTGTATTTGGTTCCTGTGCTGGGCCAGAGACTGGGGTTGCTGGAGTGCCCTGAGTTCTGGCTATTCCAAGATGGCATAGAGTCCCTTGATCCCTGTCATAGTTTAAAGCGATTCCCAGACTGCTCAAACCTGCCCTGCTCTAAGGGAGCCATAACATACTCCTTGATAGCTCCTATTTCTACGGTGCCAAAACTCAGTTTTTGATGTGAAATTATCAATTTAATCTATTTTAAAAGAAAACTGAAATCTGAGGGACACAGTCTCCCAAAGTGAAACAACAAAAATATTGTACAGAATTTTGCAGGCATTTTTTTACCAGTTCCACAAAACTCTACCTAATTCATATTCTAAATAGTGAAAAAAAAGTTCATTTTCTGATTTTATTCTGGGTTACGTTTTGAACTGCAGGTTTGCAGCAATGAAATCAAGTGTGTGTGTGATCGATTCTGGGTAGGAGATGACTGCAACACCGCTTACAAAGATGCTTCAATTTTTGATGAAGAAATGGCAGGCAAAGGTGTGTAATGCATATATTTGTGGTAATACTTTAATAGACGACAAATTGTAGAGGCTAGTCTTTGGTTTGGGGGAAGGTCCAACAAGCAAAGCTAGATCAGCTACTCCCTCACTTAGCATATAGCAATATCCTAGATAGCCTGACCTCTTTCTTTAAAAAAACAAAACAAAACAAATGGTCTAAGAATGCCTCCACCCTACAACTGGATCTGCGCAGCTTGACTCCTATAGAATTCATAAGAGTGCCCTGTGGGTTGTAGAAGTGAATCCAGGTGCATCTTGCTTGCCTCTTGAACCTATTAAAATAAATGGAACTAATCCTGGTTAAGATTAGCAGAATTTTACCAGCAACCCTCCTCCCCCCCATTACCAGATAAAAGGGTCAGCACTGCTTTTATTTTTAATTGTCTTATTCTCCAGGGCCAAATGTTCAAAACATGGCCTCTTTTTGCATACATGCACATCATATGAACATATAATATCTGTGCATAACATGTGCACACATAACTGAATGTACATTTTCAGATTTAATAAGTGATTTATGTAAACACATTTTTTATTTAATCTCTGAGCTTGTCTACATAAGAAAGTTATATTGGTAAAAGTTAAAATGTGAATTTAAACCTTTATAGCTACACCACTATAACGGCCCAGGTGGCTACCCTTATTCTGAAAGAAGAATTACTTTTTCAGTGTAGCTTAAACCCCTTCTTAAGCAACATAAGCTACACTGAAAAAGGCATTCTTACTTGAGAATGAGAGTGTCCCAACGGGAATTATAGTAGTATGACTATAGCGGTGTAATTATACTGTTATAACTGGTAAAACTTTCCCATGTAGACAAGCCCTTAGTCAAGGGTAACAGTCAGATAGATAGATGTTTTGTCTACAAATATTCCTTTGTATGGTAAAAGTCTGTTTTTATTGTGTATTTATATTTTAAGTGTTATATAAATAATGAAAATAATGTATGTCATCATATAATAAGTATTATTAAATCTCACGTAGGATTCCCTTCAGCTTTTAAAGTAAAATTATCATTTGCCTCTATCAAAAGACACTCTCCCTTCACACCTCACTTTTTATTTGTCCATTGAGAGATCACTTAATGTAGATTTCATTGTACATACTTACAGCATGATAGATGATTTAAAAAAAATGCTGTTCATGTACTACTTATAAATAACTGAAGAAATATGCATATGGGGCAACTTTTATATCTTTATATGGCACTTGGAGGTTTGTATTTGGACATCCCCTTTTGGAAAGGGAAGCATTGAGATAGATGATCATAATGAAAAATAGAAAGTCTTAATCTCTGAACTGAGAACAAGAAATCTTCTATACCAAATAAAGGGAGCCTCAAAGTATTGTATAAATGTTATACAGAGTATCAACATGTCTGTATTTTTAATTTAAATTGAACATTTTAAAATGAGTTTCTAAGTCTTTTTGTCCTCTTCTCCTGCCCCTCCGATACAGGTATAAAGACATTTTATCTTATTACAGATCCTATTTCATTATATGAGACACCCCCTATTTAAATTTAGAAGGCTAAGAATGTGCATCCCATTGAATGATCTAATTTGACTGAACATCCGTGTTTTAATCATAGCTTTAATGTTCATATACTTACACACAGACTCATACATATGGTTCCATATACGTTGCAGGTGTTTCTAGTGGCTTTGTATTATTTTTTTTAATTTAATATTTTTGAATAATTAATTTACTTCCAGGAGTTATAACATGATTGGAAATCAATTAATTCAATTCATTTTCTGTTACGTGGTCAAACTACAATAGCTCCTAATTTAAAAGTCCCTTGTTAAACATATTAATGCTATTTACAGGACTCTAGCACTGTTTTAAATTATTCAGCACAGATCTAGTTTTTTAAACAAATCTCTAGAATAGTGCTTTAACTGCTTTGTATATTTTTATTTTTAAATTTCTGTATATTTTGTTTTTTGTCTTTCACTTTCTCCCAGGTGTTGTTAGTACAAATATAATAATAGGGGCTATTGCTGGCACCATTTTAGTGTTGGCTCTCGTTTTAGGAATAACTGGATGGGGTTACAAGTAAGTATAATGTGCAATTTTTAATAAATTTAAAAATATGTATATATGTTCAGTGGATAGCTGTTTACAATATGAAGTAATAAAGGAAGAATATTGAAAATTATACAAATTTAGGGTGGCTGATCAAATAGAAACTGAATTATCTCTATTAATGGTCAAGGGAATTTAGAAAGATAGCCCCTGTGTAAACAAAGCACTTAAGGACTTGCTTAAGTTTAAGTATGTGCTTAATTCCCATTAACTTAATACCAAATTAATGTAAACTTGTGCTTAAGTGGTTTGTTGACTGGGGATGGGATTGAAGCATACGATTAAGGTTCAGATTCTCATCTGATATCCAGTTTATATTTTCTCAGGATCTGGCCCTAAGTGTTTTGTTGAATCAGGGCCAAAATGGCCACGTCCATTTCTTTCAGTACTAATGTTCTTTTTTTTCAGTTTTGTTTCTGTGCGGAAGTTCTTCTGTAAACAAAACATTTTAGTGTTTTTGCAGATATTAAATTAAGATTTAATGCATGTGCTTTTAGAAAAAAGTCAGCAGCATTTGGATTTAAATGAAATGGCTTCAAACTCCTTTATGTGTAATATTGACAAAGCAAACCAAGCTCGACTATTCAAATACCATTATTTGGATAATACCGAAGTGATTCATAATATTGGGCCAGTGCTGTTCTTAGTTATACTGTGTAGTCCCACTGTTTGCCAAAAGCTGGGAATGAGCGATAGGGGATGGATCACTTGATGATTACCTGTTCTGTTCATTCCCTCTGAAGCACCAGGCATTGGTCAGTGTCCGAAGACAGGATACTGGGCTAGATGGACCTTTGGTCTGACCCAGTAGGGCCATTCTTATGTTCTTATGATGCCAATATGATTAAATGCATGACTTAAGTATTTGGAATGCCCTATATCTAAATGCAAGAACATGCCAGAAGGTTATGCCCTTTCTTGGATGAGGACCTGGCTACAATGAACATGCTCCAGCTGTTTTTATAATTTCGGATCCCTGTGCCATTCAAAGTTGGTGTATATTAGAGGAGTTGGGAGCTGCTCTTGTACAGTGCAAGGAGAAAGGCGTGCACAGAATACTAAGAGGATTAGGTTAATAAAAGGACAGCTTTAAGCCACCTTTGCATACCACCCAGTGAATTTGGCAGTACGTGAAGATCTGAACCCCTCTTTGAAATACAGCTTCAAAACTTAATGCATGTTTTGGGATATGATTAGGCAGTAATTTAGTGAATTTTCCTGATAATACAGAAATATGTATTGAAAAACAGAACTAAGGTTTCCAAATGTTCCCAGACTTAATAAGCATGTTTCAGATACTGAAAAACATTGCAGTGTATATCCTAGAGACACTAACAGTCCAATATGAATATAATCCTACAGGTTTGTTTTGAACTAATACATCTGTTCTCTTTTCCAAAAGTGATTTATTTAGGAATCGTCAAGAATCAAAATTTCACTTTGGCCTACATTGCTTTTATATTTACTTGTTGTTTATGCTGTTGAATACAGCCACATTCTCCCTAATATATACACATTGGTAATTCATTCTTATTTCTTTCTCTTCTTTTCTATGGAAAGAAACTATCGGAGACAGAGGTATGTGATAAAAGTAAAGTGAATACATCACTTAGGAAAGCTTTAAATGATGATTATTTCTGTATTTTTCCAGTTTTGTGATGATGTAAATTTTGTAGAGAGCACCTGTGGATAATGAATTGTCATATTTCAATGTTTCCTTAAATCAGTGGTTTTCAACCTATGGTCTGCATGTCCTGGGGGTCAAAAGGCTGTCTAAGATTTCCAAACAGGTCTGCACCTCCATTTGAAAATTGTAGGAGTCTTCAAATGAAAAAAGATTGGAAACCACTGCCTTAAATTATCTATATGATTTTATAAAGGATTACTTATCTGACATATCTGAAAATGCTGTGAACTCTTCAAACACAATGGCTAAAATCCTGGCCCCATTGAGGTCTATGGCATAACACCCATTGACTTAATTGGGGCCAGGATTTCATTCAATAAGAACGGGAAAATATAGAAAAAAATAATGAATGATAAAAGCAGAGCAAAAACCAAATATGCTTTTAGAGATTAAAATGTTCTTGAGGTACAAGAGGAGTCACCAACAATATGAACCTGATGTATATTAAATTTTCTGAACCAAATTCATTCCTGGAGTTACACCTTTAAATTAAATACATTTTAGTTAAATTAAATTCATAGATAAATTTGAAGGAAATAATTTCAATGATAAAGATAGATGTTAAAGTCCATGTTGCTGTCACAATTCAATTAGTCTCATATATATCCTGCAAGTTTATGTTTGATTGATGTTTTATATACAACCAGGAACTCAGGATAATGCACTTCAGAACAGGATCCATAACATTGGATTTAGATAAAAATGGGTTAATATGTACAAGAGTATACCAAGATGAGAATACAATTCCAGGACTAGTTCACACTGGTATAAATCAGGAGCAACTCTACTGAAGTCACAGGAGTTACACCAGTGTAAAAGTAGTGTGAGATCAGAATCAGCAGTGAGGATGTATGATCCAGTTTGGAAAAATGTCAGTCTGAATCCTGTGCTCCACTGTCTAAAACAAATGCTGATCTGTTAAAAAAATTCACATTGATTCAGATAAGCAATGTAAAACTAATTGAATCACTCTTCCCACCAACCATGGTCCAGCTATTGATTCCAGGAAGAGCCCACTCCTTCCCCCAAACTATGCTTCCTTCCACCTACCCTGCTGTTCTAACCATCCCTAACTGCAAGGGCCGAATCCTGCACTCATTCAAGTCAAAGGCCAAACTCAAATTGGCTTCAGTGGTGCAGGATCAGACCCTAAGAGAGAGTTGCTCACTGATTATTCTTCTGCCTTCCCCTCCACCAACCAATCCCCTCCTGTCTAATGCAGTTATTACATTGTCTTGATCCAAGATACTGCTATATCTGCTGCTGCCACTTGCTGAGCTTGCACTCCATGCCCTTTACCTTTGTAGTACTCTCTCTGTCTCTTAGAATGCTTGGCATGTAGCAGAAAGGCCCTGCCAAGTGCAGATTTGTTTAGGCTATGTCTACACTACAGTCTATGTTGGCATAACTTATGTTGCTCAGGGGTGTGAAAAAACCCACTCTTCTGAGCGACATAAGTTACACCAACATACGCGCTAGTGTGCACAGCACAATGTCAGTGGGAGAGCTTCTTCCGCTGACATAGCTTCTGCCGCTTGCAGAGGTGGTTTTATTATGCCGATGGGAGAGCTCTCTCCCTTTGCCATAGAGCGTCTTCACTAGACGTGCTGCAGCAGCACAGCTGTATCGGTACAGCAGAGGGACAATGGAAGACTGGTTTGTGGGAGTCTCTTATCATAAGAACATAAGAAAGACCATACTGGGTCAGACCAGTGGTCCACCTAGCCCTGTATCCTGTCTCTGACAGTGGCCAGTGCCAGACGTTTTTAGCAGATGGAGGTTTAGGAACATGTGGAACATAGCATTGCATCCCTGACCATCTTGGCTAAGAGCCATTAATGGACCTATTCTCCATGAACTTAGCTAATTCTTTTTTGAACCCAGTTATACTTTTGGCCTTCACAACATCCCCAGTGTGAGTTCCACAGGTTAACTGTGCATTGCATGAAGTACTTCCTTATTTTCATTTTAAACCTGCCACCTCTTAATTTCATCAGGTGAACCCTAGTTCTTCCATTATGTGAAGGGCTAAATAATACTTACTTTCTCCACACCATTCATGAGTTTAGGGATCTCTATCATATCCCCCCCTTAGTAGTCTCTTTTCTAAGATGAACAGTCCCAGTCTTCTTAATCTCTCCTCATATGGAAGCTGTTCGATACCCTTAATCATTTGCCCTTCTCTGCACCTCTTCCATTCTAATATATCTATTTTGAAACACAGTATTCTAGGTGAGGGCATATCAGTGATTTGTACATTGTCATTACAATATTTTCTGTTTTATTATTTTCCCCTTTTCTAATGGTTCCTAATATTCTGTTAGCTTTTACGATTGCTGCTGCACATTGAGTGGATGTTTTCAAAGAACTATCCACAATGACTCCAAGATCTTTCTTGAGCGGTAACAGCTAATTTAGACTCCATCATTTTGTATGTATGGTTGGGATTATGTTCCCAATGTGCATTACTTTGCATTTATCAACACTGAATTTTATCTGCCATTTTGGTGCCTAAACAGTTTTGTGAGATCCCTTGTAACTCTTCACAATCTGCTTTGGACTTAACTATCCTGAGTAATTTTGTATCGTCTGCAAATTTTGCTACCTCACTGTTCACCCCCTTTCACAGATCATTTATGAATCTGTTGAACAGCACAGGTCCCAGTACACTCCTTGAGGGACCATGCTATTTACCTCTCTCTATTATGAAACCTGATCATTTATTCCTACCCTTGTTTCTACTCTTTTAACCAGTTACTGATTCATGCGAGGAACTTTCCTCTCATCCCATGACTGCTTACTTTGCTTCAGAGCCTTTGGTGAGGGACCCTGTCAATGGCTTTCTGGAAGTCCAAGTTTGCTATATTGACCCTTGTCCACCTGCTTGTTGACTCCCTCAGAGAATTCTAACAGATTGATGAGGCATGATTTGCCTGTACAAAAGCCATGTTGACTCTTTCCCTACATACCTGTTATGTGCAGAATGAGTTGGCCTTAAAGTCATTTGATTGGAGATACAACTACATTGGCAGAGGATAGGGCAACTTAAATCTTGAAAATGTCAAATGAAACCCAGCCTATACCAGTGCAAAATTAGCATGAGAGGATTGAGAGAATCTAAAATATCAATTTTAATATATTCTTGGTGAACTTTTAGGTTCCATCATCCAAGAAGTTTATTAAGTGAGATGGAAAGCTATAAATGTGGACTCATTCTGTGTGCAGTTTCCATGCCAAGGTTCAGGATGGAAACTAGTATAGGCAAAGACTTTTTGGAAATGATGAAGCAGCCAGTGGTGCATAGCAACCAAATCTCATTAACATAGGAAGAGGAAATTCTGTAGTCGGATATCTGAAGAAATAGTTATGAAAATATATAAGCAAGGATTCAGTAGATGAAAAAAGTACAAGAGAGTCGACTGGAAAGCCCTCATTGGAATTAGTGTTAGCTCTTAATCCAAAATGAAAACAGATCATCAGTGTGCATGCCAGGGTTACATAAGGATTACTATTTGATGGAGCAAAGCAACTGAAACAAATAAAATGTAAAAAACTGAAAGGAGTAAAATGTCAATGGTTCTATCGACTGAGATAGCCTGAAATGCACAAAGATATGGAAAAAAGCATTAGTTTGATCAAAGAGTGACAATTTGTTAAGTAGTAGACTGGAGACCCATTAAACTCTATTGAGATACCCATAAATCACAATAAGTTGGCCTCTGAAATATTCCTGAGGTTTATGAAGATTGAGACTACAACTGAGACTCAGTATGGAATGAAAGGAACCAAAAGGATTGTGAAGTACGGTCTGTGAGCCTTTTGGCATATGATTATATATTTTAAACATATGGGGAGCTTTTGAAATTTAAATCTGGAAGTGAAAGAAGTGAAGAAAATCTTAAGAGAGTCAAGTTCTGTAGGAGGACACAGTCTGTATTTCTGAAAACCGAAGTGAAAGTGAGTCAGCCTTCTGGTTAATGAGCATTTTTATTAATGGTGACAAACGCAAACAAACACCTTGGAAAGTACAATGTTGAACTGCGCATCTTCTGCTAATGATTAAAGCAACAGACAAGTTATCCATTTGAATTAGGGAGACATTTTTGACCTGCTAGAATTATCTCCAAAGAACAGTGATAACCGATGGCTATAAATTCACTATCAGAGGAAAAGTGGGATAGGTTGTTCATAAATTGGAAGTTTTCCCTCAAATCATGGCTAAAGGGATGAGTGGGATGTGAATTATATATTTTGATAAATTGGTGTGCTTCAGAAACATGGAACATTTTAATCTCTTTGCAAATACTTTGCTTCTAATTGCAAACATTGAAAAGGTTGTTTAATCAGAACAGAAACAAGTCTTGGATGAATGAAGGAGGGAACACAGAACAGAAGGCATGATCTAAAAGGGTGAAAAGATTATAATAAACCTTATAATACTTCTGGGCTAGCAGCTTGTCTTTGTCTTTCCGGTCACTCTTCTGCTTCAAGCAATCTCATGAGTAATGCTTACTCAGAAACTGATTGTTGACAAAATGGAGAAGAAGAATTAAAAGTTAAAATTTAAGCCTAAAGGGAATATTTTTGGAATTATTTACATTTTAAATGAGGTGCTCAGATGCATATTTCAAGATAGTGACTTGACTATACTGTAGCCAAGTAACATTGTACTTAAAAAATCTCAACCTGCACACAGTAGCTCAGAAAAAAAATAAGTCTGTTGCTGTAGTCTAATATTACCCTTAAGTAAACTTCTGACACAGTGAACTGTAAAGATGCAGCAGCTCCACAGGATAACTTGAAACTAGGAGCTGTCATTCAAGCAAGTAGATGATGAAATCCTTAAAACCAGTACCTTTAGCAAAGTGGAAGTCAGTGCAAATTAAAGGAAGTCAGCACCATTTTGTCATCTGTCTTTCAGAGGGGGGGAAAAAGTGCATTTTAAACGCACTTGGAAATCCAGTAGTAAATCCAACTAAAACTGAATTGCCATAGTTAATTCTCTGTCTGACCAAACAACCTAATCCCTTTCACAGGCACTAAATTTGCTTTAAAAAATACAATTCTGGACTTGCAATTTATGCTTCTAGAGTGCTAGAGGGTTTTAAAGTGAACCTCGTTTGAGACGAAGGTCAAGATTTTCAAACTAACAGTGATTTTGGGTGTCCTTATTGGAGACCAGATTTTCAGAGACTGGGTATGCAGACTGATGGGCAGTTTTACCAGCTAGGGAATGGAAATAAAGTTCCAAGTTCTTTTAAGACTCTTTCTTTGGGATTTGTTCATTCATTTGGTTCAAAAACAAAAAACAAGTCAACTGAAAAACACTGAGCAATAATTCCCCAGAAGCTTTCCCTGCGTTAACCAGCCAGGAAGGGAGAACACACAACCCTTCCCTTAACTCCCTTTTGACCCAGCTTCTACTTCCTTTTAGTCTTTGCCCTGAATAGCCATATGACCAATTGCTGACTGTCCTTTGCAGGCTGCAGCACCTGTACTTTGTCACATAGTCCTTGTCACTTCCTGATACCCAGGCCTCTTGAAGATATCTGAAATTGATCATCTAAAACCTGAGACATCCAAAACTAACTTGTCACTTTTGAAAATCTCAGCCAGATTTTTTCAGTTAAAAGGCTGGTTTCTCTGAATTAAACCTCTGACATTGCATTTCTGAATTCTCAAAAATATGAAGGACTTCTCTTTCAAGTCTGAGGTGTTTATTAATATTCTTACAGTTTCCTCCTGTAGAGTGTTATCTCTTCCTCTTTCTCCTAAACTAATATTTGTGTGTGCATGTCTTGTTTTCTAACTTTAAAATGTTTATTATGCTTTAGACAAATACCACAGGGAGATTATGTAAAAAAGCCTGGAGAGGCCGACTCTTTTTATAGCGACATGCCTCCTGGAGTCAGCACAAATTCTGCATCTAGTTCTAAGAAGAGGTCTGCTTTTCTGTCGCATTTTCAGATTTCTACCTGTTCCATCACCCATTATTCCATTAGTCAGAACATTTCATTGTTTTGCAGCAGGTTTGAGTCCTTCTTCCTTCTTTGTGGAATGTTAAAAATGGTATCTTTTATTCTTTGATTACTGATATTTTTTCACCACTACATAAAATGCCCCAAACTGTTGATTATTAAAAATCAAAGCAGAATAAGTATAATTTACATTGCTGTCCAAGATTTGTATAATCTAATTTTCAGCATCTCTCTGCTTGGAAATTGCTTTCCAAGAAGACTATAGTATTCTTGGCAGGTTCAAAAATAAAACAAACCAATAATTAAAAAATCCTGTGAATTTTATCATGTTCAGGTAATCAAAGAAAAGAGATACTGTCATGTTTCAATAAGAGTTATAAAAATAAACTAGTTAATATGAATGTTATTTTTGTATCCTTATTTGTAAATGTCATTGTTAACTCCTTTTAGTTGTAGTCGACCTAGACATAGTGAAAAATATTTTTATTCTTGCTGTCTTGCAGAAATGAGTGTGGTGCTCACAGTTTATATAAATGTTATTTCTATACTAATACTAAACTTTCAATCAAGTGTTAATCTATGACTTGATCTAGCAAACACTTGTTCCTTGTGCTGACTATTCTGAGTAGTCCCTCAGAGCGGTAGATTGTACCATTGTTAAGTACTAATCCAAAAAGATACATTATTTATTTGTTTAGAGTTTGCTAATATGTTGTGGCTCCTATTGCTTAGAAGAGACATCAACACTATTTTAAAATGACAAGTTCATTGCAAAATGTTAATGGTACATTAGTGGTTGATAAGCTCACCATGCTCTGCCATCATTTTGCAATCAGAGATACTTTAATTATGAAACTCCTTTTTAACTGGCACTTCAAAATGATTTACAAGGAGCTGTGTGTAATAGGAATGCAGTCCTCATAGGAGAACTGATTTTTTTTTTAAATTTCCTATTTCTTCTCCCTTTAGATAATTTATAATTGAGCAATTGACAAAATTCACACAATTTTTAGCCCATTTAAAGTTGCTGAACATAGCAAGTATGTGAAACTGTATATACTATACAGGCCTCACATTCCATTTCCTTTAAAGTATCCCATTTAAATCTATGACTAAGGCAAATGTATCCTTCAAGGGAACAGCGCTTGAGATGTAATTAATTAACCACACTCCCCTTTTTGGCTAAAGCTTTTAAATTTGTGGGGGGATAAATAATTTACTTCCAGGAAGTGAAAGTTAATCTTAAAATGATGCAGTGTCTTCAGCTGCAAAATCATTTCTCAGTTGACTAGTTCTAATCAAATCTTGGGAAAGCAAGTTTCCGTACGTCTTGTATTTGGCAGTGGAGCGGGTTTGCATTCCAGTTAAGAAAAAATTATTTAACTTTTTAAAATGAACATTATGTAACTCTTCTCTTCATGATATGTCTTTGTTTTGCCTCATACTTCCATTTCTTTCATGTTGCTTTCACTTGTTTATTATTTACTGCACAATGATAAGGTCTGTTTATGCTAGAGAAATTGAATGTTGCAACGGCACCAGTTCAGGTACTGTTGCACCACTGTTGAGCAAGTTTGGGTAATGCCTCTTACATACTACGGCAGGACTAATGTGGACAGAAAACAAGGCCTTGAAACGATCCCAGTGTTAATTGATCCTTTCAGTTCAGTCCCCATGATGTTATCCCCATCTATCAGGCAAATTGCCTTCAGGGCACTCTGTCCACAAATACCCACATCTCTGGGCAGACCAAAGAGCAGCCGAGGCTTTACTCATTTGGTCCCATCGATGCTGGAAAACACTATGAATGGTTAGTTGAAGAGAATTCAGCATGACATTAAAATATTAACAGCTAACTTTATAATAACACTCCAGTATAAAACAGTGAACACCAAGCACAGTAAAAAGTGGGGGCCACCTGTTGCACCTGTAAAAGAAACTAGTAGGAGAAAAATTATCCAAGAATGTATCCGTTTTAAGATATTTAACCCTGGAAATATGCTTGAATCAATAAATATTGGTGTGATAAATAAATAAATACCTTAGGGTGACCTGTGAGTGACCTGGGAACTGTCTAAGCAGTCTCCATCAGATTCTTGCCCTCCAAAGGAGAAAAGAGGTGGAAGAACATTAGTATATTCAGATATACAGTTAAAATATACAAATACACTCATTAGGCCAAGCTTCTCTCAAGTAAATAAACAAACAATCTCTGTTTTATCTTACCATGAGTCTCCAGGTACCACTTGTCTACTTCCATCCCCTCTTGTAGACCTAATAATCGTCCTGGGTTGCCACTGCCACATATGGCAAAGGGGGTGGGGAGCAGAACTAGCTGTGATGTAGGGAGTCTTCTACAAGGATCTGCTCCCTGTGGATACTGGCCCTCAGCAAACACATCTCTGGATTGTAGGAGAAAACATGAGAAGAAAGAAATACATTAGTTCATCTTATAGGATCTGAGTATATAGACCCCACTCTGCCATGACTTTGGCCTGTAAGTGCACACTGCAATCTCCAGCTCACAAAAAGAATAAAATATCCATATTAGGGCTGTCAAGTGATTAAAAAAAAAATCACGATTAATCATGTGATTAATCACACTGTTAAATAATAGAATACCATTTATTTAAATATTTTTGGATGTTTTCTGCATTTTCAAATATATTGAATTCATTTACAACACAGAATACAAAGTGTACAGTGCTTGCTTTATATTTATTTTTATTAAAAGTATTTGCACTGTTAAAAATAAAAGAAATAGTATTTTTCAATTCACCTAATACAAGTACAGTAGTGCAATCTCTTTATCATGAAAGTTGAACTTGCAAATGTAGATTTATGTACAAAAAAAATCCCCTGCATTCAAAAATAAAACAATGTACAATTTTAGTGCCTGCAAGTCCACTCAGTCCTACTTCTTGTTCAGTCAATCGCTCAGACAAAAAAACTTGTTTACATTTGCAGGAGATAATGCTGCCTGCTTCTTATTTACAGTATCACCTGAAAGTGAGAACATACGAATGTTTAGCATATCTGGCACGTAAATACCTTGCTACAAGAGTGCCATGCAAATGCCTGTTCTCATTTTCTGGTGACGTAAATAAGAAGCAGGCAGCATTATCTCCTGTAAATGTAAACGAACTTGTTTGTCTGAGTGATTGGCTGAACAAGAAGTAGGACTGAGTGGACTTGTAGGCTCTGAAGTTTTACATTGTTTTGTTTTAGAGTGCAGTTATGTAACAAAACATTTCTACATTTGTAGGTTGCACTTTTAGGACAAAGAGATTGCACTACAGTACTTTTATATAATGGAGATATCCTATCTCCTAGAACTGGAAGGGACCTTGAAAGGTCATCAAGTCCAGCCCCCTGCCTTCACTTGTAGGACCAAG